TATCTCGAAAAAGATTTTTTTCAGATTAATTGAGATTACCGTGATTAGAAAGGCAAGAGCATCGAAATTCAAAATCTCCTTTTTTTTCTGAAAATTTTTGTACGAAAGTCGTAATAGTAGCCCCTTCGTAATACAAGCCCCCCCTAAAAATTTTGAACACTCGGACAGTTTAGAAGCCCCGGAGGCTTCTATTATGGGGGGGGGTTTACAATTAGTCTATCAGCTTCGATTGTTGACAGCTTTAATTAGTTCAATGCTCGATATAGAAAAATACTTTTCTTAACGTCCTAAACACAGACTATACCACACTGTCAAGGGTATGCGTCGAAGAATTCTTCTAAATATGTAAACTAAAAGTGTTATAAAATTACTTGAAAAATATCACATGCTTGCTGCATTTTCTCTTCCCATAGATAAAACTGGACGCCATGTTGATTGAGAACAATCTGAAACTATGCATTCTTGAAGGAGAACCATATTTTATAATCTATCTCAAAGGAGAACATTCTCAAACAGCACACACTCGAAGGAGAACAAATAGTTGCTGCAACAGATGCTAACAAGTAGTGATTTTGTGATTGTAAAGAATATAAACAAAAAATATATATTCACGCTTCAAACTCTCTTCAGTAGTAAATGGTAATGACATTTTTTGTTTCTCGGTAATGCTGTGCAAAGTTCATCGCTTTTATAACGTTGAACGTTCACCTCGTTGCTTGTCTTGGTATTTTTCAATCTTTTGAACGGTAACGGTCTAGAATGTCCTTTTAAAAATGTCCTTTACAATGTCCTTCAGACATTTTGTCCCTGAAAATAATCTTCTCCTACATAAATGTCCTTAGTCGAAATATCCATGGGGATATTGTCCTGAACGATGTTCCTATAGAAAGATGTTCCTAGGATAAAAATGTCCTTACGATGAAATATGCCCAATAGAAGGTGAAAATATTAATCATCTAATTAAATTTATTATATCGCATTGAATTTTACTTTATTTCTCATGTGCAACATTTCTTTTCTTTCGTTCCTGTTCTGTTCACTAGTAAGCGAAATGAATCCTTTACAACAAAAATCAAATATTTGACCAACTGTAGTTGTATCACAGCGCGCCCTAGATAAAATACACAGAAGTGAGAAATGCATAAAAGGTTGATGGTTTTATAACAGTTGTGAATATCCTTGGTATGAGATCACTTTGCTGTTAGTGATTCTCATCATGTAGCGACGATCAGTTCGGTTCTGTTTGATGCACAGAGGATTGGGACTCAGCCATTCCGTCTCATTCACAGACTATTAGATTGGCTCTAATAACGAACTGATCTTAGCGATAATATCTAGGGATATACATTCTCTGAAAGTCTAAGCGTAAATGTTTTCTTCACATACAGCAAACGTTACCTTATCGGTACTATTCACACGCGAACCATAAAACAGCAACCGTTCTTACTGTTATTTTGAGATTAAATTCCAGTTATATGTCGGACTGTAATTGAGAAATACATGAGAGAATCTAGAGAAGTCTAAGATTGAAGCTGTATTAGAACTACCCATCAAAATTTTTCTAAAGTTCAAAACACCGTTAGCATAATTCCCATGACGAGTAAAGAAGAATTCGAGAAAACAAGAGCGTGTGTACAAATAAAATTGCTGTGTACTTATTTTAAGCTCAACCTCGAAGCGAGTCTGAGGTGAATGATTCACCTTGATTGTATTATGTTCCCGAAGAGAACACCGGGTAAAACATAGTGAAATCGGTTTCTTAACTATCTTAAGAAACGAACTGAAGAATAAAAACCAGTAGTAAATATGAAAAAAAGATTTCGGAGAATAAATCTGACCAACTGTAGTTGTATCACAGCGTGCCCTAGATTTGAATAAGTAATACAACGACGATTGTCATAAAGGACATTTTGACCAAGGACATTTATTCTGCTGGACATCTTTCCAAGGACTAAATACTCGAGACATTTTGTTCGAGGACAAAATTGCGGGAACATTTTGCAAAAGTCATTTTCGGAAGGACATTCTTGCCTGCATTCTTTTGAACTGCCTCATGGTGGTCTAAACAGTCTCGTCAACATCATTCTTTCTCGAGTTCAGAGCTTTAATTAGCTTATGTTTTAATCTGTTGTCTTCCAATTTACAACTGTTCTCCTTTGAGAATATATATGACCAAAATATTCTCCTTCAAGAGTGCACGATTTATAAATGTTCTTACTTGAGAAATTATTAAGAAAATTGTTCTCATCCGAGAGGGTGTCTGTGGAGGAACAAACTAATCTTATGTATCTGTGTCTGAAGATTCTTCGAACTATATAAACTGAACTTCTTATCAATCGCTTGCATTGATAACTTTTCATTGATCTGGATAAGAATTTCTTAGTAATACATCATGTTGCCTACTCGCTGAAATATGCCTCTCGTGCCATTTCTCCAAACGTTTGTTTATAGTCAAGAATTGTTTTTTCATCTAAGACTGGATATTTTTGATAATTTTCTTTGTGCATATACGACCGATGATTAAATAGCAAATGAATGGCATGTTGATTCCGCCATTCTGTCCAGTTTTTTTTGTTATATAAATTATAACTGAGAGACGTATCTGCTCCAAACAAGTTTTTTACTCGATGAATTAATTCTGGATGTTTGTAAAGAATTTCTTGTGTTGGACGCTCACCAGCATTGTAATACCACAAATTCGATCGATATTGTCGATATGTTTCTAAATATAGTGGTAAAAAGCGTGCATCTTTATGAGCCAAATATAATTGTGTCGCTAAAAATTGATTTTCATCCCAATTAAGTACCATTTCAAATTTTCTATAACGATCTAAATTTTGTACAATATAAACATCGTTATCCATCCAAATGCCACCATATTCTATTAGAATACGAACACGTTCAATATCTGAGCCGTGATGCAGCTGCCAATCTTTACTTAATGATTGACCAAATATTTTCGTTGGTGGTGCACGATATTTTATTTCGATTCGACGAAATAAATCTGGCCATGTCTGTAATTTCAGCCAATATTTTCCTTCAAACTCCTTTTCATTTGTATGGATAACAAATTTATCTGGTTTTTGTGCTCGATATGCAGCACGTAAACACACAACATCAACAAAATCAAATGTTTTCTTGTTGAAACGTATTATATGGATTACGTTCGGTACGAGATAATAGTTAACACCGCTAACATTGTCAAATCCCGTAAAATTGACACTTAGCCCTGGTGTTCTCGGAGAAGGCCGTACAAAATCATGATCATACCAAACATATGTTCGTAAAGTTTCTTCAGTTATGAACAACAACAGCAGCAAACAAATAGCTTTGATAATCTAGAAAGGAAATATACAAAACCTTATTGAAATTAACGTAGATAAAAGCCGATAGAGACATACTCTATGTTGATGGAACATCCATGCGTTGTCTAGACAAACAATAATCTGATAATTAGTATCTAAAATCAAACTACGCATAAATACATTCCAAAAATTTCATTTTAACGTTGTTCAGAACAAGTATTAGAATCAAGTAGTTCCTGTTAGTTTGTCTTCTGAAACAATTATCTAACGGAAATGTCAATAATATTGTATGCAAAGTATCTAAACGCGGTTATATATTTTTTTTCGTGTAAAAAAACGTGTTGATTTTTATTTTCTTAAGAAATAAACTCGGTATAAAATATCTTATAAAATACAGAGTTTTGAATACAAATGATTTTGAAAAGTATCAAAAACAAATATTATGTAAATGCTTGGGTAAGATAAGGACGAAGAAGCATAAGTTCTCGTGTATACAGTACATAATATACCAAAACAAATATGCAGCATCTGTGCATGAGATGCAGCATAATATTATACATAAAGACAATCCTTCTTCGTTCTCTCAATTTTACATTTTCTAAATATAAACTGTTCCTAGTTTCTATTTGTGAAAGAAACTATTATCATTTTTATAGATCACTATGGGTATAAATCGAGATATCTATCCAGTATTTGACCAATAAATCTATGAGAGTAGCCTTGTACAACAAAATATTATAGTTCATTTTGCAGCCCGGAAAATTCTCTATCTTTCTGTGATTGGGGTTTTGGTCAAAGTCTTTGAAGTTGTACGAAAATTTTGAGGAACAAAGTGAATGGTCTTCGTTGAACTGGCGACGAAAAACGATAAGAAATACTTTTTTAAGGAGATCAGGAGCAATTTTTGAAAGTCAAAAGTGTTGGAAAGATATCTGATATTTCATTAACTAAAAGGAAATGCTCGTGAACCCTTGAAAATTTGTTTTTATTTTTATCAGACACATTTTACTACTTCCATCTTTATGCCGATGTTGATTTTAATGCTTGCAAGCGACTGTTGTTTAAACCAGTTGGCGTGTTCTACATGTCATCAACTGAACTAAATTTTATGTAAATAAAATCTCGTACAAAGGAAAGCACCAACCACCACCACCTGCACGGAAGAGAAAAGGACAACCGCAAAAAGAGAGTAAAGATAAAAAACAGAAAAAAAAGAAAAAATGAAAATGATTCAAAAGAGCACAGTATGCGAGAGAAGACGACAAATACAACAAGAGAATTAAATCAAATGTGCAAATCACTCAGTGCTGGCTTAAAAGAAGAAACTGTTAATGAAGTGACTAGGTTATTCTGGGAGGGACTCCAATTTATCGCTGTAGGGTAGAAAAATGATGAGGCTACATGTTATTTAGTTACTGTGAGTGTCAGCACCCGCTTAGTGTTCTGACGACCGATGTTAAATCCGATCTTTTATTTTCAATCTCTTTAATAAATAGAGGATATAACTGAGAGAGGGGCGAGAAAGACTTGCTTACCTTGTAAAAATGAAGTAATCTAAAATATTCTCGTCTCACTGGCAGTTCCGATATCGTAGAATTTCGCCACCTGGAATCTCGCCATCGGAATTTTGCAATGTTGTCGAATATACAGAGCAAAGCCATCAACAATTTCGACAATTTGTCGTATGAATGAACTTCGACAATTGCCGAAAATCCAGGGGAATTTCGACAGTAGTTTTCAGACATTTGGCTATATTTGTTTTTAGAAAAAGTTTTAAAAAACTAGCGAAAAGCGAGTTTTACGAAAATTAGGGTTTTCAGGCTGTTTTCACCTAATATTAAAAAATTCACTATTCACTCAAAAAACATCAGAACGAGTTCAAAGTTTCAGAATGTAGAGTATTTCAGCTATTCTATATTCTATTTATAGGAGACCTCGAAAGAAATTTTTACAAAACCCTAAGGTTTTCCAAAAGGGTTTCAACAATTGTCGAAATTACAAGGACTTAAGACAATAGTCGAAAAACAACCTGAAAGTAGACAATGCCGAAAATCAGAGTGACTTTCGACAATTCATCGAAAATATTGAGCAAAACGAGAATGCCGAAATTCCGGCTGTCGATATTCTATTTTACCCTAGTTCCGGCAGACCCAATTTATTGATAAGAGATGTTACGGAGCCACCAAATTTCTTATATATCACCCGTGCAGCCAACTTTATTGTCTTGTCTAACTCTTCCTTGAACCATTTAGTGTTATATACTCAAGGGGATAAAAGCAGTTTCAGTATGTAAAAATTTTTTTTCGAAACGTTGAATAAATAAATAATAAAGGAAAGTAAGGTATGAAAACAGCTGCTGTTTTTATCACAGCAATTTTAAACTGGCACCCATAAATAAAATTAACATTTTTAGATATATTGGATTTCAAAGCGGTTTATTACTGTGTCCACAAAAGCCATTTTTCAAATAACTTTTGACTGACAATAGCTGAAGAGTTGCGGTTTTCGTCATTCGATAGCCAAGACATCGCCGCATCCTTACGTAACAGACAGACGAGCTTTTCAATCTTCGTTGAAAACCCAATTTTTCAGGGGATCTCTGGAAAGCCGAGTCATAACGCTCAAAAGGCATAAATAAATTAATTATTTTCCATGGGCAGTTAGCCCAGGGTATTTTCTACAGAACGAATGCTTGGTGAGACCTTGATTTTCAGTGGTTCAGGTGTGGTACTGGCTTTCTTTTGAGCCCCAGGACTGGTACTTGATGGCATTGCATGAAACATACGTAGTCAGCCACACTGAATCTGGTGGCAAAGCTCGTTTTTTGGAAAATAATTCTAAACCATGGGTGTATGCTGAGCTATCCAGCGTTATGGTTTCGGTTTTCCAGAAATTTTGAAAAGCTCGTCTGTTACATAAAGATGCGGCGATGTCTTGGCCATCGAAAGACGAAACCGCAACTCTCTAACTATTGTCAGTCAAAAGTTGTTTAAAAAATGGCTTTTGTGGACACAGTAATAAACTGTGTAGTAAATTTAAAATAACCACTGGATTTTGATTGAAGCCTTGTGAAAGACCCTAAACATTGCGCCTAAAGATTTGATATTAGCCTCACTCCAAGAAGAACGACAGATGTTTCCCGTTTAATAACTGTATTATTTATTGTAAAAGAGAGATGATCTGCAACTGACTGATCGTGATTTGTGAAATAAATCCATGCAGTTCGGCAGTAATTAAGAGACAATAAGTTTAAGTGGTATCACTTCTCAATTTTATTAATAAGCAATTGAACATCGGCAGTCTGACAGACAATGCTTATAGGATACAAGAGTGAGCAATCGTCGACAAATAAAGCAGAGACAAATGGCAATGAAGTTACCAGAGGCAAATCGTTAATAAAAACAAGAAGCAGCAGAGGTCCGAAGATAGAGCCCTGGAGAACCCCAGACGGCACCACTACTGTTTCTGAAAATGAGACAAATAACTCTCGAACCATGTATATGGAGCTCCTTTCACGACCAACGAAGATAACTTCGAGAGCAGAATTTGATGAGGGATCCGGTCAAAAGCTTTCTCGAAATCAAACATTACCAAGATTGAATCAACACCTGTTTCGAGATTTTTAAATATGTGTCAAATATAACAAAGCGTCTGTTGTGGAACTGTTTCTACGAAAACCAACGTGGAACTTCGAAAAAAAATTGTGCTGATTTAAGTGTGCGAGTAATTGATCGTAAATATAGCGAAGATATATTATTTTTTAACTTTCTTATAGCTTGAAGGAATTGATCTTTCGATAGTGGAATCACGGTAAAAATATCCTCAATTTTCGTTTTTGGAGCAACACATGGACCTGATTTTGGAACAAAGCATTTCACGAAAAAATCATTAAATAGATTCGTTTTTTCACTACCTGTAAACGTTTTTTTATCTTCAAGCGAAACACTAGCCGGTAACTAATTTCCGTCATCCTTACCACGACTTATACCACTCCAAAACGTTTTTGATAATTTAAACTCGGTAGTTAGTCCTTGAAAATACTTTTGCTTGCATTTTTCTAACTGGTTTGTAGCTTTATGCCTAACAATACGCAAACTGCTAATTTTCGCAGCAGTGACATTTTGTTTTACTTTATGAAAATTAATATCATGCTGTCTTCTTAATCGATAATAATGTTTACTTGAGTGAACAAATAGTTTTTTCAATATTTCTGGCACATATTTGTTGATACGGGTGTTAATAAGCTGTTGAAAGTGGCTTAGTGCCTTATCAATATCGTCTATCTCGTTAAAATTAGTACTAAAGGAGGATAGAGATAGTTTGAAACCAGCCAAGTAGGCAGCAATCCGGAGGTAACCCGACTGACGAATAGTACACATTATCGAGCTTTGTTCCTCCATGAGTAGTTGATGAGTCAGTTGATGGTGAAAGATAGATAAGGGCGAGTAACTCGCGTAACTAACGGTATAAATGCAGGTGACTTACCTAACAGGGTCTGAATTAAAATCACCTACCACAATAAGATGTGCGTGATTACCTGCTACATTAATTAACAGAAAAAAAAAGCTTAACGTAGTAGTCATCGTCTACTAGAGGCTTACGATAACAACAGCACAGAAAACGGTAGTAGATTGGACGGTAAAAGTCAACAGAATACATTCCCTTTGAGCACAATAGAAGTCAAAAGTAAACGATATTGAGTTTGAAATGTAAATGGCAAATCGTCCTCTTGGATTAAAAGCATTGAGTTTCTCGCGATCCCTCCTATACAATGAATGCCCATTAATACTAACTTCGTTGTTGTCTATTGCATCACTTAAAAAGGACTCTTGCAATCCAACCAAATTGGAATCGTAATCAGCTACAAAACGTTTCAATGCATTAATATGATCCCGCAGTCCTTCAACGTTATGACACATCAAAGGCAACGCGGCTTAGTACCATAGACAGTACTGGGTGAGGACGGAAAAGCAGGAGAAGGACTGTCTTTACTCATATCAATGATTGTAAATGACTTACACTACGGTCACACTACAGCCTTAATCGCGATTAATTCGGAGTGTGACCACAATCTTAATTATGGTTAACTTTATGTATGATTAAAGAATGAATAATGTACTCACTCTTACCCAGATCGGGCCGTACGCACACGTCACGCTCTATACACAGCGTGCGCCTGACGTACGGGTGCATCATGCGTATTTACTGTACAAAATGCATCAATCAATCAATAGGTTTTTTATTTGAACACGAATGTGTCTAGGCTGTTACAAAAAAGGGAAACTTGAAACTTAAATGAATGTAACTCCTATGTAAGGAAAAGATTAAAAAAAAAAAAATTTCATGCATACAATGCGTACCATGTGCCATTTTTAGAGGTTTATCACAGATATCAAATAAACATGTTACTATGAAACTGCAATGTAGAGAGAGAGAAAATCAGGTCATGCTCGGTATGCGCAACGTGCATATACTTTCGTTACACGTACCAACCGTGATGGACATCAAGTGTATGTGACGTACCCGTACAACTGTCATACTGCTCGATCTGGGTAGTATTAATCGTGATTAAATGTAGTGTGGTCGCTCTAATCATGATTAAAAAAGGATGCAGTCACACTACAAAATCGTTAATTACGATTAACTTTAATTTTAATCGCGATTAAGGCTGTAGTGTGATCGTAGTGTAAGTCATTTACAATGATTAATTCACTAACCGCGGCAAATTTTATGCATGATTAAAAAATGAATAGTGTAATCACTCTTACCCAGATCGGGCTGTACGCCCGTCGTACGCACACATCACGCTCTATACACAACGTGCGCCTGACGTACGGGTGCGTCATGCGTATTTACTGTACAAAATGCATGTCATGCATACAATGCGCACCATGTGCCATTTTTAGTGGTTTATCACAGATATCAAATAAACATGTTACTATGAAACTGTAGAGAGTGAAAATCATGTCACGCTTGGTACGCACACTGTGCATATGCTTTCGTTACACGTACCAACCGTGATGAACGTCAAGTGTACGTGCCGGACGCGTACAACTGTCGTACCGCTCGATCTGGGTAGTGTTACCAGGAACCTGAGTAGGTGCCGGACATTGGGGGGGTGTAACGAAAGTTTTTTGTCCGAGATAGTGTAAAATAATTATCTTGTTACTGTTCTTTTAAATTTGGGGGGGGGTACGCATCCCCCACCCACCCCCAAAATTCAGGTCTCTGAGTGTTACTCGTGATTAAATATAGTGTGGCCGCTCTAATCATGATTAAAAAAGGATGTGGTCACACTACAAAATCGTTAATTACGATTAACTTTAATCATGTTTAATTTTAATCGTGATTAAGGCTATAGTGTGATCGTAGTGTATGTTGTGAGAGCGTGCAGAATAGCTCGTGAACTACGTCGGGAAGTATATAGTCTTGTGTATGAAAATTAGAAGTTTTAAGATTATCTTAGCTAATTCTGTACATCGCTCCGTGAAGTTCACTAGCTATTCTAAACTATCTCTGGGCAAGCGTGCTAATTAGCCTCTTCAACGGTAGAAGAAGAGTGTGGGTTTTGGGGTGAATAACTTGCGTTTACAGCTGAGAGAATACGATTATTTGCTTCCTGTGTCTTGTGCCGCAGTTGAAGTATGTAGGATTGTTACTGAGAGATTGAGACATCTATCTAGGAACATCTTAGAGATAGCTTAGAGAGTTACAAATTAGAATAACGATTTAGAACAATAAGAATAGAAAACAGCCGCGAGTCTTTGTCGAGTGTCTTCTAGTAGTATTGTGTTACGTTGCAATAAAATTATTGAAAATATTTTCATGGCGTTCAAGTTTGATAAACAATCAGTTGATCTATCGGTTTTTCTTAGTAGAATTTCCTTCATCAATATTTCTTTGATAAGTATGATACTATAGACATCGACGTTTGATAATAATTATAGCGTATTTTTTACCAATATTAAAGATTTTTGCACATTCAAGTAACATCAGATAGAAACTAAATCTATTCAAGTTGTCGAAAATCGCAAAACTTTTTATTTCAAATATAAAAAATACTCATCAAGAAAAATATGTTTCAAGAAATTTGACGTGCTCTAATAATCTTTACCGCTTAGTCTGTCATTCAAATATATACACGTCAATTGTAATGCAAATATATACATCCCTAGTCCACTTTCCCTAGAAAAATCCCTGGGGAGTCACGACAGATGATGGAATCCCTGGGAAGTCCCAAAGAAGTCAAGTGAAAAACTGAAAATCCCTGGGGAGTCTGGAGGGATTCCCCAGAGATTTTCAATTTTTCGCTTGACTTCTTTGGGACTCCCCAAGGATTTTTCTAGGGAAAGTGGACTAGGGATATGTAACAGTTCGAAAAAAACAATTTTTCTCCTTCTCTTAATTACAAAAGTTAATAATGTTGATCGGGGAATTATAAATTAGTTGACTTAATAAACTTGTCATCAATTTGTAATTTTGTATTAGTAGAAATAAATTAAAAATAAAAATATGTTACTATTTTTTTCAATGAATTTTTTCTTTCAGAAAAAAAGATACATAAAGGTAAATTGTACGGATTTGACTTTATCTACAACAGAATATGTGTTAACGGAGAACTTTGTTTCCTTCTATAAAGATCAACACATTCTATTTTCTGTAAGGGATGATTTATATCTTTTGGTTTTATTCCATTTTCCAATTACAAATGATCATTCTCTACAGGAAGTATGAGACTTTTCAAGAAATTCTTTTACTATATATAGTATAATTTTCTTTCTAAAAATAATGGGAGTAACTCGTGTTGTTGCCACTAAGAATATTTGAGAACATTTTCCCTCTTTGAACATTTTTTTCAAGAAAATCCAATTGCTACATGTAACTAAAGTGGGAAAGAGTTTTGTCACCTCAAATATTCGCCATCTTTTTCTCACTTTTCTTCTATTCTAAGAAATTAAAATGGTCTAAATATTATTAAAAATATTTTAGTTTCAATCTGTTAATTTTAAGTTGAATGTTGTTTTGTTTTCTATCTTTAGTTATGAAAATAACCTTAACCCAACATAGTGTTTATTTGCGTATGCTGAAAAGAAAGATTTTCAAATAAAAAAGGAGCCAATTATAATATCACACCTCGAAATACATCAAAGGTTTAATATACAGATGTGCAAGATTGAGTTTGAATCGAATGCGGATATAAAAATTCGTACTCCTATAAATCCGTAGTCAAATGTTAATAGTTGTTGTGCGAGTAGAAAGAAAAAAATGTTCTCAGTTTTTCAGGATATACAGTCTGTCTCCTGATGTTTATAGCTCCGTCATCACTACGAAAGGTATTCGATGTGTGGAAATATGTGTGGAAACTCTTTGTTCTTATTATTTTTATTATCCAAGAAAAAAATGTCCTTTAAAATCTATCCTTGTAGACATCTCTCGCGCTTCTATAAAGAAAGAAAAAAGTAATAATTCTGCCTCTTATTCTTTTTCTCTATGGCACTAAAATAAGGCATTTTTGGTATCTTGTTCAACATAGAAGAAAAAGAAAAAAGTAGTACTTAAATAACTAACTATCCCTGCGTTCTGTTAGTTTTAACATATGCACGGAATCGTACAAACGACTATTTAATATTATACTGTAACTCTTGTTGTATAAGACGATTATCTCTATTTCCTGTTTGATAAACGTAAAACAAATTTATTATCAGATTTAAATGGTACGTAACATGTCATCTTAGATAATTCACACATTGTATAAGTTAACAAGATTTGAAATATGATACCATTAATAAATAAATATTAGGAAGACTCTTCTTTGATAAATGTATATATCTCTTCTTAAAAGAAGACAATATTCGAAGTGCATGTGTGATATCATTGTTTTTTACGAAAAATGACGTCGTTTATTTGCTGATTGAGAAAATTATTTTGATTCGATCATATATACGAAATTGAACTCGTGAGATAGATAGAGATAATACCAATCGCGTTAAGGATAATTCGAGAATCAGAGGTGAAACTAATCTATCGAAGTGACTTTCAGTATTAGACGATGGATAGCTGAAAATTGGTCAACGAATATCCATCCTTATTACACAGGCAGATTTTTTTATGATCGCAGATTTCCAAAACTGAGAACTATCCCAAAAGTTGGAGACATGCATCTCACTTAGAGAATCTAACTGCATTTTACTATATAATAGCGTTGATAAAAATTCTAAAAGTTAGATTTTTTTCTAACACAATTAAGGCTTATAAAAGGCTTTTTATAAACATTTCTTTCATTGAGTTTGCCTTCACATCACGTACAAAAAACATTACTCTTATATATTCTGAGGCTAATAAAGAGATTCTATCATACAAGGGTTTATGGGACTAGTCAAACGGTCGTTTTATGCGAGGTAGCCTGTTCTCACCCCATACAAAACATAGATTCATATGAGGAACAAGCAGAAGTAATATGAGCCGCTTCTCTCTAGAGGAATATCTGTACCCGTATAGACACGCAGCCCTGAAACCCGTTCATTGAGCTATACCCGTTCCTCACTCGAGAAGTACGGGTATACCGAAAAATGAACCCGTGCCTATCGGCAGACATTCCGCACTCACATCTCTTTACATCTTTTCAAATTACCTGTAATAATTATTAAAGTTTTGAAACTGTGCTGAAATTATTAATTTCTCTATGAAATGGCCAAGATGATGGATGCAATAAACTGTCCACTAACAAATTTATTCAGGAAAGTTATTAGGTTTACTATTTTTGACTTTTTTCCGTAGTGTTATGTGAACTACGACACAGTTAGGTCATAACTTCATTGAGCTGGTAATCGTTTCAGAGATTAAGTTATATTTGAAAAAATCCTTCTAATCAATCAGACTTATGAAAAAACGAAGAATATATTCCTGTATTTATGCGCTTAACTAGTCTTATAATAAGTAAAATTTTCAGCTTATCCACAGATATTTCAAATGAAGTAACAGTAACATGTGAACAAACATAGTAAAAAATATTTCTTTGAATAACCGTCACAAGTAATTTAAAAGAGATAAACGTGTGCAGAACGTCTCTCGATAGGTAGAGGTTTATTTTTCTGTATACCCGTACTTCTCTATAGAGGAACGGGTATATCTACGGATTATCCATAAATCGATTTTAGGACTGGCTGTACTTGTTTATAGAAGAACGAGTGCAAGTATGCGGAGTATGGAAGAGGCGTTCAATGACGGCCCGCATCTCTTTGGATAGAAACAGGTGTGTGTACGACCCATTATGGCATGTCTCTTTAGTAAGCTCAGTACTTCCTACATTTTTGCAAAAAGTATATTTTTGGTATGGGTGTCAGATCCTGTACCAAATATTTGTACGGACTCAGCTAATGCCCGTTCCTCTATTTTTTACGTTCTTGGGGAGACGCCATACAAAATCATTTGTTACTCAATCATAATTTGCAGTATCAAAATCGCTATCTTAGGACAGCTGAGGAACTATGATGCTATCTATCATCTAGTTGAATTTCTTGATATAGATAGTTATATCTTGTGAAGATTTTGTTATACTAAAATGTTTGGCTTATTCTATAGAAATTGATTGTTAATGTGTGAGACTTTTGATGAACGTACTGCGAGTAGTACAAATTTTGAAAAGTTTAACATGCTACTCAATACTAGAGCTCGTTATGGAACTAAGATCAGTAGTGTTCACATTCTTCCTTCCTTTTAAAAATTTAATTTATCTTAAGGTGATAAATTCTCACATCACTTAATACCTTTTCATGCAAGAGATAATTTTTACATTATAGTACGGTGCTGATGGTATACAGGCCTTGTATAATCCACTCACGTGAGAATGTCATCAGCATTGTTACTCTAGCGATACGTGTGAAATGAATATAAGTAGTTATTAGACTGTGTGAAATTCTATAGACAAAGATTGAAAAAAAATTTTCGGGCGAAACTTGAATCCAATTTATACCGGTCTGTTAGACGTACATAGAGTGATCTCTTTATTCTGTATGTTCAATGTTGCACTTGTCTTATCTGCCAAAATATATTTAAATCATTAAAAATGTTTATATATGAGGTAAAAATGTAATTCTATAGAAAAAAAAAAATCATTAAGTGTAAGTTGACAATAGGACCTAGTTATTTACTGTATATGATTTATAATAGAAATAACATTGATTTTTTATCTTCACGCTTCATAATCGAATTTACTTTCTGAAAAAAAAATCTTTTCTCGCTTATGAACTATTCATGGGGAGTCGACATTGATCGTTCAAAGAACTTGATTAACGAACAGAGTAGAATACAAAGTGGCATCCATTTCTAAACATTATAGCTATCTTAAAAAATATATTTTTACACAATACATTAATAATATTTGGAAACAAGAGAAGAAGAAAAAAAAAAGTAACTCTCTCGTTAATTGTGTAAGACCTAAAATGTGTCAGAAAGTATATTTTTTCTTCGAAATCATTTGCTTTATATTAGCTAAAAACGAAGACGATAAATATTCCAAAAAAATATTTGTCAACATCAACAATCATGTGCTGATTGACAGTTGAGTTATTGCAATTCATACATGTCATTATTGTCGAGTGTTTCTCCTATTTTAACTCTTTCTACACATGTGTTAAAGAGGGGCATTGATAATCGATCATCTTTTTACAATAAGAGATACATGCGGATAGTGAACACAACTATACACATGTCAGCAGTTTTAGCACAAACTATTGATAAATATAATTTCTATTAACTACGTGTAAAAGAATGAAACTCAGAGTTCTATCAGAATTTCGATTGACTAATATTATCATGCGAATTTTATCTCATTTCCAGTATAATTTATTGAATGATTAGGCAGATTTCTTCTCTATATTTTCTTCAGAACATGCACTTTTGAATTCTCTTGATTTATCTATTTAAATGCAGTAGTCTCCACTTCATCTTTACAGTTAGAGTTAGATAATTGTCGGTACTTCAGTACTGACACCACCACAAGTACCGTTACCGACAATTACCTAGTTAGAGTTAGCCTCGATTATATATTGTGTATTATTCATCAAATATTTGATACTTATTGACACGGAAACTTTCTTGAGATATTTATAATTTTGTGTTCATCTATATAATCATAAATTATAGCTTTTGTATCATATTTTTAGAATTTTTGTTATTCTATTTATATATCCTAGTAAAAAAAAACGTATCTTGTCCGTTTTAAATAGAATTCGCAACAATTATTATAAACACTCTTGTTTTCTTCCATATAATAAACACAGAATTAATACAGATATGTCAACGGATACGAAATTGTACAAATATCTGCGTCCTTGAAAATAATAACTGAATAACAGGTCAACAAATTTTTATGATTGTGAAAAAATATTAAAATTCTTATCAAGTAGTGTAGGTCTTGTTTGAAAAAAATATTTAGATATATTTTGCAACTAAATGTGAAAGACCTTCGAAAAAGAAACAACAACGAATTTATTATGGATTGTTTATTTTAGTAGTGAAAAGTAAAATTATGTCTGAGACTACAAAAACAAGTAAAATTACAGTTGATGAATAAGATTTGTTTTTATTTTTAGTGTTGAAATTAAATTCAGACGAGGAGTAACCAATGTATATATTGAAATTTAATTTGTAAGTACACAAAATGAATATATCAAAAATGTCAAACTGAAGAAGAAAAAAAAAAAGAAGTATTTCAAAGTATTTTTCTGTTTTAGTAGTTCTATTCATGTGAAAAATATATTATGGATGGTAGTTATTTGACAAGTCTTCTAGGTCTAGCAAATATTATTGAATTGGTGAGAGAAAATTACTCAACACTACTTAGTTTTTAATTAATTAACTATATTCTATTTTTTCTTTTATTAGCTTCTATTAGCTGGTGGTTTCGTTGCTGTATGTATTTCTTCAACAGGCTGGGCACAACTTGTCGATCTTTATCCAAAGAATATAACATCTTTTCTATCACCACCACAGGTAATTATCTCTTACAGCAATTTGTTGTTGTTTTTTTACTTTTCTCTCCTTCTCACAGGTTCGATGAATTTATTTTCAGTCGAATTCTATTCCAAATTCATACTATGATGTTGAGACTTATCCAGTTAAAAAAGCGGATCAAGCTATTTTAATGATTGTATTTGGTTTAACTCTATTCACATTACTGGCACATATTCTATTAGGATTAAGATATAAATATTCTTGGCATAGACTGTCGGTAGGGGTGAGTATCAAATTAGATAAAATGTATTAAAATTTATTTTATTTATGGTTTTTTTGTTCAATAATTTTAGTTCGGTCTAATATGTATTGTATATGCTGTAAGTTTATTTGGAATATCAGTGGTCGTTGCTGTAAGTAATTCAGACAGACATATTTGAAAGAAATTCAAAATATAAAAAATTTTTTTTTTTTTAGTGTTGGGAAGATAAACTAAGACGTATAATGACCGATGCATATATTGGAAATCAATTTTTAAGTACACCAAATGGATATGTTAAACCACAAACTGGAGCAGCAGCTGCAGCAGCGGTAAGAAAACAACTATTAAACATTGTACATGTATAGAAATATTTTTTATTTTTATTTTACTATTTTTTGTGTTTTTAGACATTTGGTTTTGCGGCGTGTGCCCTATTTTTGGCTGAAGCATTAATGCGATTTCGACGACTTGGCGATAAAATGCACAGATAATTTCAAATAACAAAGTATCTTATCCGCCCATAACAATTTACGATCACTCAATATTATTTATTTTGTTTCGATTATGTGTTTTTTCTTTTTTTATTAATCATACTCATAGGGTTACTTTCTTCTTTTTGTTTGTTACGTATTTCGTCGATTTTGATCGATTTTAACTTGTAAATTTAACTGGAGATTTATTACCATAAAACATTCGTCTTTTTTTTCAATCTGTATTTTCTTTCTCGAGTCAAATGAGTCTTCTTAACAACTTTTTGATCGTGGAAAAACTTAAAGAAAAAATATATTTTGTTTTTGTTTTTTTATATCTTTATTTGATTCTAAAAGAAGGTCAACGAAAAACATTATAGGCCTAGTGATGAACAGGTGACAACATGGTGGAAAAAAAATGGTTTAATCCTCCGACAAACATAGATAAGCGATGTCAAGTATTTTTAGCCATTTCAATTCAATCGATTTTTCAATATTTATATAACATCGTTTACCTTTTATTTTCATTTTTAGCAGATATTATTTAGAAAAATAATGGGTATCTTATACAAACCATATATTGATCATGAAATAGCAATTGTCATAATTTGTTCATTAACAAACAAAGAACATCTACGTTTTAAGTGGATAATATTGTTCAGTTTCACTTCTTGATGATGTAGCATTCGTAATTATTATTAAATGAGAGTCTAACGTTGTATTTACTATATAGCATATGAATTGACAGCACAAAGTAAATTGGTACAATTAACCACGATTTTTATGTACATAATTACAATCATCATCATAGTTAAAGTAAATTCTCGTATATATTGTTTGATTACAATTAATGAAATAATGAGAATGATTGCTACTATTTACAAATAATTACATATGTCGCTTATATAGTGAAATTTAATACTAAATGACGACATTTATCTTTAATATTCTATAGAATTAAAACATACTTATACAAAACTTACAAAATAAATACGTTATTTTGTTGTGCACGTTCCGATGTACAATTAAAAAAGTCAATTAGTTAATTAAAAAGTTAACGAGAAAAAAAGTCATTAGTTGATTAACAAAGAGAATGCATGGTTAACATTGTCTCACTCAAACATAATTGTTCATTTTAATCTTCGAACTTTGACTTAAATAATAGAATCATGTCACTTTTACATTTTTAATAATGAAAATACTGCTATAACAGTAAATAACCTTAATTCTTAATTACGAAGATATGATTAACATGTCATACTAAAAAAAAAAATTTTTTTATTCTTCAACAGACGAATCATAATGCCATATTAAGAGTATGGGATGTCATTTATCTTTATTTTCCATAAATAATCTGTTTAGTAGGAAACATGTCAATCAACTTCTGTTGTTGTTGTTTTTCTACAATAATTATTTATTATTAATGGTTTTGATAAGGCGATGTTTACTATTACCATACACTTCCACATATTGTACGGGTCTAATAGTTAAGAGTATAGTTGATTTTTTTTCTGTCCATAGATCTTGTTGTGAATACTGTTTATAATTGTGGATCAAATTTCACTAGTAGATAAACGAGCATTCCTTTGTAAAAGTAGACTTTGTATATCAAAATTAATTCAAGGTCATGACATGTCAAAAAGAAGAAAAAAGAGAAAATCAAACTTTATGTCATCATGTCATTTATAAGCTAAAAGCCTTTTAGCTTTTGAACCGATGGTCGGTTCAAAAGCAGACGACTTTCTATCTTTCTTTTGACGAAACAAACAAACAATTCGGCTGATAAATATATACTCATGCCTGCCTAAATGCTTTGTTAACAAATGTCGTAGAAATTCAACTTTTTTTTCACGCATTTTTTTCATACGCATAGGCATTAAGGTAGATTTACTGTGAATATAGGGTGGACATGGAAAACAGAGACTCGCGCGCAACTATTAAACGAAGATTGACAATATATCAGACTCTCCCCCATGAGAAGTTTTTATTCTATTTGGCGAGCGAACTCAAAATAAAGGGACAAAATGTTTGAACGAATAATTTGTTCTGATATATGCGCACGTGAACGATCTATTTTTCAGCGAGTAGAACTATCTTTTCTAAAAGATATATTGTAAAACATTTGATTACTAAAAATATTGGTCTGGCTGATTATCTCATAGCCCCTCATCGGTACAAAACGTGGACCGATAATCAACGCCGACCTCTACGTCGAAAAATATCTGAAAACTGTGGTGCCCTTAATTCGAAAGCATCATTAGGATGGTCAACAGATCATCTGTCATACTGGCATCTATCATCAAAAAAGAAAAGAAACTAACCAGGGAACCTATGTAAATATTAAGAAGAGAACAAGAATCTTAATAACTGCACTCATGCTATTGGCGGCAAGCATTCTCTATCTCTATGTATAACATTCCCTTTTCTTCTTATTTAATTACACACACCACAGCAGCGTTTTGGATGTGTCCGTTACGGGTCTTCATCACTTCTTTATCTTATTTTTGATTTTTATGTACTTTTTCTATTAGCTTATCAGTTGTTGTTTGCCTTTATTGCTTCTTCTTATTGTCACTTCCCTCTCTTTCTCCACGTAGCATACTTATATTGTCTACTTAATCGATACTGTAATAGTACTGAAGTGAGTACGTTGTGCTCTTTGTACTTTTTGCCATTTGCTATACTTTTAAATAAATTGGTTTTAATCAATATTCCCTTCTTCTCTTTCACACTATAATTAATCACGTGTTAATTATTTCGATCGTGGAAAGTTTCTAACCCCGAACTTTTGAGTGACCCCGTTTTGGGCATATACCTGAGAAAACTAAAAAGGATAACGCAAAACCAACCTCGGATGTGTCGTATTCAGTGTGAGTTTTATATTCTTTTTTTGTCCCAGTTTTCTATGACTTGAAATTACCGAGATTGACGAGCGGAAAAACGCGCTCGAGGTGTAGAGAAAGAAAAGAGGAACATGCGGACTCTGGTGAAAATCAATAAGCGGACAGTTCACTACGTTCGTAGGAGAATTTAGAACGATGAAAATAAAGTAACATGGACATAAAACATGAAAATAATAAACTACAACAATCAAAGTTCCAGAAAATTTCCAAATTGGAAGTCTGAACCGAAGAATCAGTTATACCTTTTCTGAGTTAGTTTCTAAACGAATAGAATTTGTTCTCTAATCTATTCTATTGACATTAGCCGTTGTGGCACTAATACACTGTAAGGTTGGAAATTATTTATGGAAAATGCTCGGCGAATTTCAAAGAGTACATATGGGAATTCCGTGGGGATTTTCCAGTTTATAGAAAATCGAATTTCCATAAATAATTTTCAAGAATCTGGAAATTCCTCATTGAATTTCCAGTTTGTTAGAAAATCGCCCTTGAATTTCCAGATTCTTGAAAATTATTTATAGAAATTCGATTGATTTTCTATAAACTGGAAAATCGCCGGGGATTTTCTAGTTTATAGAAAATCGAATTAATCAAGTCGATTTTCTATAAAGTAGAAAATCAACATTTCCCGGAAAGCTGGAAATTCGTCGAGGACTTTCTATAAACTAGAAAATCCCCGGCGATTTTTCGGTTGATTTTCTATAAACTAGAAATTAATTCAAGATTACAGTGTACTCACAAGATTTTTAGTAGTTGTAGTATCAGAAGTTCCTGTTGTTATGTAGAAACATTTGTACCCCATTTTTGTAGGTAGATCTTCTACCTTGTATAATCTATGCCCACTGTCTACTTTCACCCATTTTCTAATAGTATATTTCCGTTATGAGCTTATTATTTACATCTATTATACCCTCGATTTGCTATAGTATATACTGACTCAAGTTTTTACTTCCTAAATAGATTTTTCTCTTTATTCTAAACGACATTGCCAAACCAATTAAAAATTTTAAAATTTTTATGCTACCGATGGGGACATTTGGGAACGTTGAAACGTTTGAATGCTGATAATGAAAATATTACGAATAAAAAGTATATTAAATATTATATTCTACTAGAGGAACAAAAACGTACGCCCTGTTTGTGATTGTTATGAAATGCCTTTGAATAGCAGTTTAGTTAGATAAAATCAAACTTAAAGTGGGAAAAAATCAAGATAATAAAAAGATGACTAAATAAAATTTTAACAAACTTTGTTTTCTTGGTGTTTGTAAACAAAGATTTTCTTAATCTATGGAGAAATATGCTTTTTTCAAGCTTTTCTTGACGTTTGTAGCTATTTTAAAGGACTTTACTTGAAAATGGCGAAATTTTTGATAGTTGTTTATCACATACATACCAGGAACTCCAAACAGCGATGACGATAGCTTCAAAACGCACAGGGTAGTTAGAATGCAGCTGCCAAGTTTTGCAGACATCCCTAAGAGCTTTTAAACTAAATTGAAAATTTTAGATTTATCACAGGACAGGTTCTCTGAAAAATCATCTGTACTCAGGACTGACTCAAGCAGGAAGGGTTGTGTGTATTTGCTTCCGAATAATTCCAAAAAAGACTTTTTTTCACCAGAAAATGAAAAGGAATTGCAGAAAAAGTCGCGTAGCGAAATATTTTTTTGAAAATTTGCCAAAAGGAAAAACCTTAGTTGTGAGTGTCTCGGAACAGCCTGCGTCTGTACTTTTGAGCTGTTCTTCTTTTTTTATCTATCTTCGGTATGCAAGTTATAGTACGACACACGGTTTAGCTAAACCTTGTAGTAGGGATAGAACGATTTTCTGCAAAAAAACTTTATCCAAAATTCCCCACTTTTACGGAAAATAGGATGATTTATAAGCTGATGGTTGGCAAAGAACGTAATGAATCAAAACATGCAAGGTATTGGGATCGAAATGTATTTCACTCTTCAACGCTCAGGACAATTGTTTTCACAAGTACACTCCAAAACAAAGGTGTTCTTCCGTTTTCTTTTTTAGAGAAATCAAACATTTCTTTGTTTGAGTATAAGTGAGTGATATTTATTAAAAAAGCAAGTTTATGGCATAATATTCACTATTATACGATGCAAAAGAAATGGAAAAAATGTCGAGCATTATTTCTACATGTTCCTGATGGGCTGGCGATTTAATTATTTTTCTTTTAGAAAGAGCAAAGTCTGAACTTCAAAGAACATAGAAAACAAAATTTTTTGTAATTGAGTTTGAGTGAGAAGAAATCTAAATACAAAACGCTGCCCAAAAAATTCTTGCAACTTCTACTCTCTTGAAATGTATCGTCCTCATCAAAACTATTTTTTCACTATAGCAGACTAAGTTTGAAATTATGTAATTATAGAAACTAGAAGTGTTTTTATTACTCTTTTGAATCGAATGTGATAAATTATCTTTTGATCTACTTTCAATTAGAAATTCGTGAGTTTTTCATTTGTTTTAGAAAAAGAGTTGATTAGACTTAATTAATAATTTTCATATACTAAATGAACTTTGTCCTTTTGCTAAAATACATTTTCTGAAACAGCATTCAATTCCCTGCAAGGTCACATTAGTTTTAATTTTTACTCACACAACTTGAGTCCTAAATAACAAATTTTGTCGATGTCGTGCCTTTCTCATGAAAAGTACAGTTTTCTACCAAATCTGACTTTTGTACTACGGTTTTTTTACTATTAAAAGGTTAATGAGAAATTCTCTACAGTAGTTAAATCAATACAGTTTTGCGCAGACAACATTCTAATCTAGTTAGTTTTCAAAAAGGGTTTCCTCCTCAGGTTGCAGTGAAAAATTAAAGAAAGAAGTGCCTTGCAAGAGCATTCTAGGTGACGTTCTATATTTATATTTTTTCTCACTCAAACTCAATTACAAAAAATTTTGTTTTTTATGTTCTTTGGAAGTTCAGACTTTGCTCTTTCTAACAGAAAAATAATTAAATCGCCAGCGCTTCAGGAACATGCATAAATAACGCTCGATATTTTTTCCATTTCTTTTGTATCGTATAATAAACGTATTCTAATGATAACGTTCACTGCAGAGCTCTGTTCGCACTTTCTGTTAGCGTCATTTCTCTGAAACTTAAAAATGTCGAGAAGCTAGTCAATGTTTAATTTTCTAGAACGCTAAACGAAGTTAATTTCATCAAAACAACTGAAAACAGCTCACGAGGGAACATTCCCAACTGTCAAATCGCTTTCGAGCCGAAACTGAGTGGACTATAGATAGCCGATTCCGAATATCAACATAAGACGGGCTGCTAGGCCTCCAGAGACTGGTTTACTGGAAAACCAGTTTTTCAGAAACTGTAAAAGCTAACCAAAACCTTTCTTAATGCCGCATAATTGTAACCCGGAAATTTCTGATTAGAATGAGACATCTCCCAGCTCTCTACGACCTTTCTTTGCAAAGTTATACAATTTACAAGAAAAGCCCTAAATTAATTTCTTATTTCTGTAGCTGTGAGCTGCCAATGAACGTTTGGGGCTTCTCTTATAAATTATATAACTTTGCAAAGAAAGGTCGTGTAGAGCTCGGAGATATCTTATTCTAATCAGAAATTTGCGAAAAAATGTTCTTTGGACGAGGCAGGAATATTTTTCAAAGCGGTGAAGCGAGTTTTCTTGCGGATCAAAACCAGTGCGAAACGGTACCTCCCCGGAGAGACTTTTTTTTTTCAGCTGTGGGTATGATCATTACCCACCGACGACGACGATCTGATCTAAGCCCAGAAACAGTAAATGATATTATTGTCATCCGTTCTGATTTCCAATAGTGACCGAGCAGAGCGAGGCGGGTTCTAAAAATGAGTCCCCTGTTCATATCTGGTCTCTGTCTCCTCGATAGGATAAATCGTCCAAAGACTATCAAAACATGTTTGCATACACTTCGCAAGTACTTACTACGTAAACTTGACGGGGTGCTTGCTCGGTACCTGTTTTTGCTAAATTACTTGATAAGTGCCGTTTCCACTTCCAAAAAAAACACTCTGGAGATACTTTTCAAGTACATTCACTAGAGCATGGAGATGTTTTGAAATACTAGCGTGATTACTAATGACAGCGCCACCATCGATAAGAAAGTGCTATTCTGTTCATTGTCAGTTGAGCCTAGGCTAGCTTCTTCAATAAGTACAATTAATGTATAAAAAAAACAAGAAAAACAAAGATTCAAGACTCACTAGCTTTTTCTGTTTCAATCCTTTTTCCTTTCTATTGGTGCGTTTAATTGAGCAATGTAATTCAGATCTATTTCGGACCGATAAAAAAACGAACAAGAATGCCAGTACAACAGCCAAGCACACAAACAAGAAAAGTAAAGTAGAGTGAGTATAGTTTCTTGAAAATGTGATATCAACACTCGATGTACAGTTTCAAATTTTTGAAATTGATAGACGTATATATGGTCTACCTTCCATTCAAGTTTTTCAACTAAATCGGCCAAGTCATTCTGCTTAAAACACTGAGTGTTACTCCTTTCTTATGAAACAGCCCATTCTGTGAGACATGCATTATACAAGAGATGTCACACTGTAAAGGCTTTCTAAAAAACTTTTGCTCGAAGAAGAACATGAAACATCCCAATTTGCTTTTGATGCAAACTATAAAACGTGCAAGAATACGAAAGTTTCAATCTCCTCCCTTTATGATAAATTTTTTTGGGACTGAGATGAATCTCAGTTTTTTTAAGAGTCTCGGTCCTTTTAAGCAGCTTTTGAATCAACAAACATGTAAAACGCCAGAGCACACTATCATTTATCAATTCTCTATAGCACAGATTGCCAACACCCTTTTAGACCTGACTGAGCCATCTGAATGATTTAAAGGTTCTTTTTTAGTGGAAAGGAGAGACTTCAGCTGTCGCAAAAATATTTTCTGATGGTCAAGAATAAATTCAACTGACAAAATTCGCGAATTGAAACATGTCAGCAATCCAAGATATAGCCATTTATACTCACAAATATACTATAAGTTTTAGATTTGTAAATAATGGATCAAATGCATCAGCTTTGCGCTCCATACGGTGCTGTTCTTACGCCGTTGACAGCATTATCAAGTTCAACTGGATATAACCTATATGAAAATGCACATGATGTTCAACCGACAGGCGTGAAACGATATGAGATCAACGATATGCTACAAAAAATTATGTCAATTGTAAATGAGCGACTTGATGACGCACAAGAAAGGTGTGTGACATATATTGTAGATATAACGAAATGTTTAAATCTGTAAGTTTTTAATAAAATAATAATTTCACTTTTTTTTAGAAAACACGCTTTCAATTCACATAGTATGCAACCAGCATTTTTTCAAGTGTTATGTGAAATTAAAGAAAAAATAGGTAAAATGTTAATAGAATTCAATTCAGATTGTTTATTTACATGATAGTTTTCATTTAGCTATCAATCTACGTCATTTGCCTGAAGATGAACCATCCGATCCTCAATTAATGCGTCTTGACAATATGTTAATGGCTGAAGGTGTATCATCGAGCTCGTCAACAGCGATGAATGCTGTGAACGCTTCAGTGAATGGCACAAGTGGACACGGTAATAATGTAGATAGTGATTCAGCTTTGGATCATTCAGATTATCGTGCAAAATTGGCACAAATTCGACAAATATATCATGTTGAATTAGAAAAATATGAACAACATTGCAACGATTTTTGCAGTCATGTAGTGGTAAGAAAAAATAAGGTTTACAAATATTTATAATTATGTCTAGTTATATTTATTATATTCAAGACATTACTACGTGAACAGAGTCAAGCTCGTCCGATTACAGCCCGTGAAATAGATCGAATGGTCGACATTATTCGTAAAAAATTTAGTTCGATACAATTACAATTAAAACAGTCGACATGTGAAGCTGTTATGATTCTACGGTCAAGATTTCTCGATGCAAGGTACCCTATACACTAGATGTTTGTTAGTGTTTAATTTGCTTTATTTTATCTTTATTTTCAGACGAAAACGTCGAAATTTTAGCAAAACAGCTACGGAAGTATTGAATGAATATTTTTATTCACATTTGAGCAATCCTTATCCAAGCGAAGATGCCAAAGAAGAACTTGCTCGAAAATGTGCAATATCTGTCTCTCAAGTAAGTGTTTGTTTAGTTCTAAGTACAAAAAAAGTGTTCAACAGATTAATTGGTTGATTTTTATTTTGGTAATAACAAGACTGACAATTTGAACATGTGAACACAGATAAACATACAATAAAAACAGAAGCCTTTAATTTACATCAAAAACCGGTTACCGGGAAAGCAAAAAAAGTGCGATGCACACATAAATCTTGCTACCCTTTTCATAGTTGGAGATGTTGCCTTAATTTTATTTTAAAACTTCTAATAGTGATAGATGAGACAACTGCTTCGGATAGAGTTTAATTCCAATCTCGAGCTGTTTGATATAAAAAAGATTGTAAAACAGTCTCCGTTCGAGCAAAAAAACTTCTACCTGTCTTGAGTGTTGTGCTAACCTGTTTGATCATCTTGCTGTATCTAACCGAATTAGACTCAATCGAGAAAGTGGGAAGTGCCCATTTAGGATCTTGAAGATGAACCATCCGATCCTCAATTAGTGCGTCTTGATAATATGTTAATGGAGAGTTTCATCAGTACTGTTTATATGGTTTTCTAAGATAAACTATTAGACTCTTAAGATGTTAACACATGTGTACTCAGTACAACAATACTTTATTTTTTCTAACTTATATTAATTGTTCTGTTATTCCATGAAAATTTAATCATTTGTATTTCTTTTCATTTTTAGGTTAGCAAGTGAGTAGTTTATTTATATTTCGAGATCTTTCTTTGATCTAAAGAAAGTGATGTTTCACTAATCAGAGATGGATGAATTATCTGAGTCATTTTCTAAAGTTTAACATTTCTAATTCACTTTTGCTAGAACGACTTTTAGATCGCCTCTAGATCTTCAATCTTGCCATGTTCTTAAAATATTTTCTCTCTCTCTGTCTTCTTCTTGTATATAACAAATACAAGAAACACACTCATACTAATAAGAGTTTCATATGACTGATTCAAGTCAGTTTTTCAAGTTTGTGGAGTCTTTCACTTCGAGTCCAAATTATGACTCATTTACTCGTCCATCTCTGTCACTAATATTTATTTCTTGTATAACATGAGTAATTTATTTGTTTAAAGTTGGTTTGGCAACAAGCGCATCCGTTATAAGAAAAACATAGGTAAAACGCAAGAAGAAGCAAATATGTACGCAGCTAAAATTGCCTCACAAGCTGCTCGACAAGGACGTAGTGGTAGAGAAAGCCCAGGTAAGAACTTATCATACAATTTAAACTTTCTTATTCTACAATTTTGTAATTATAGATTATTAATTTAAATCAAAATATTGAACAATATAATTTTATCTTGCCATGCTCAAACCGATATGATGATTATAAACCCCATTTAGTTAAGGACTATAAGTTTTAAAGACTATTTTTATTTCATTTTAATGTTGTCTTGAAATGTATATAACTGATTCATAATATTCATTTGCCTTCATTTCTGCCTGTCTACTTTGTTCATGTTGTTGTTTTTTTAATCTCAGATATTTTTGTGGGACGGGTAGATCTACATATTGAATACTCACTTCTTTTTTTTTATCTTAACCAATTGTTTGGTAACGAACAATTAGACAAATTTTATTGAAAATCAAAATCGAATTATACTGAGTTATGTTGATGTTGTTGTCGTTTTTTAATCGTGTACTAATCTCATTTGGTTATTTTTGTATATAAAGTTTCCGCTATCTCTAATTTTATTGACATGTTTTATTTTGTTGCATTTATTAAAGCATTTTTGTTTTCGACATTTTTTGTCGTTTTTTTTTGTTTTTTGACAATTATTTGTAACGGTCTTTCTTCTTTTTTTTTGTTTAAAAAAAGTATTAAATATGGATAGTTGAAATATTGAGTATTTATCTAATCATTATTACTATTTGTGTTTTTCGAAAATCTTTTTTTTTTTGTTTATTGTTAGAATAAAAATATTTGCGTGTGTCATTATGAACTGAACTATATATTATAGGAAAATTGCACGTAATCAATTTCAACCTACATCAGAAAGTGTCAATTGTTTAAAATGTCATTGTTAGCACCATTGTATTCGTTACTAAATCATTTTCTGATTAATCAATTAAAATCAGCCATTAAACCATAATGGTCGGATGGAAAAATATTCGATAATGAAGTTGTACGATTATTCATCGTAGCTGTTTCCAATTGCATTTGTTCTACACATTTATTACCAATTATTTCAATTTGTGCTGGTTTTCTCACTGAACTTGCAATCATAATTCGATCAAGTCTTGACGTAGTCTTGGGATGATTTTTTAGCATTGTATTTGTCGATGTATCAAATGTCCATCCTAAATTATTTGGACCTTTTACTGTGGGCCAAACATCGAGCCAATTTGAGAGTAATGTCATATGCTCTACCTAAAATAGTCGAAAATGACATGAAATATTATTTATTATCAGACGGTATTTATATATTTTGGTCTTCCAAAACTGATCATCCATATTAATGAACTTACATTTTCTGAGCCATTTGCATCGAAATTAAAATCACCCATTAGCAAACACGTTGTATGTTGATCATCGGCTGTATACGTCTCAAATATGGATTTACAAATCTTCAATTGTTGTGAGCGTGCCTCTCGACTATTCAGTGATTCCAGATGAACGGTACCCACTAGTATAGTCTCTGTTCCAAATTTTAACTGTGTAAATAAAAGTGATCGACCCATTCTCGTTGGAAATTCAACTATTAACAGTTGTCTGAGACATAAATCTTTCTGAATTAACATTACAACACCATATCCCTGTTTACCATTAGAGAATGTACTTGCATCAACATCACTTATCATATATCGCTGTTGTACCCACGATTGTGAAATTAATTGTTGTAAAATTGGATACGTCACTAAAATGATTAGTCTATTATTTAAAGAACTACGAAAGAAAAAAATAAATACTTACTTTCTTGAAGACATATCACGTGGGAATTTGAATTGTTTAAAATAACTGAGAGACTTTGAAATCGAAATGGTTGATGAGATTGATCAAACCAAATATTGTATGTAACAACTCGAAAGGATGAAATATCTTTTGGTTGTGTATCTTGTGACCTTGATGGATCATAGCTCTTCCACTGGTTAGAATTTGAATCGTAACGCCAAACAGGCAGGGTAGATGAGTTATACTGTGAAGCTAAAATACACACAACCAGTTAGTCTAATAAACGTGACAATGAACAAGATAAATGCTGCTTTTCTATCATTACAATTAGAGAGATTTAAAGAGTTATCTAGTGGTATTTTTCGAACTTAAAGGATAGTTCAAGTCTGGCTATCTCAGTTGAGCGATCATTCGTCGTTCACAGAAATTTATTGAAAGGAACCTTTTTCAATTACATGATATCTCCAAATGGCCAGATTTGAACGGAAAATGCCATAATATAAATAAAAATAAAAGAAGTAAACAAATTCGTCTAAGAATCTTTTGCTCCATTAAGCGACGATTATGAATCCAACGTTCACATTTGACGATAAACTTGAATTGAAAACGTGGAATGATCATAAGTAGATAAATTAATAGTTTACTTGTTTGAAAATCGAAAACACAAGCCCCAGTACACAAATTCAGCGCAAATATTAGTGTATGGCATATTTCTGCCTTTTTCTTATATATTGAGCCACTACTAATGGACTTACTACTAAATTGACTAAAAAAGAAAAACTATTTGGTCCGATGCAATACTTTTACGGGGGGGGAAAAGGTGATTTCAGATATTTTACCGATATTTATCGTGTTTTTTTCGGTATTGATACAACTTTTTCAACATTAAATGATTCGCTTTGAGATAACGTATCAGCGAAGCAGCACATTACTTAGCGGGACGTTTAGATTAAGAAAAAAATGCTTAGAACTGTTTAGTCATAGTTTCTCGAGTCAGCAGATCATCTGATTTTGATAAGAGTCTGCTGTGCAGATGTACGTATTTGAAATCAAAACCAATTAAACATAGACTGAAGCAGTTCACTTCAACAATCCTCTTTTTTTTTGTCATTTACAAAAAACACTTTTCGAAACAAAAAAATGTCTCTTGTATGTTAGAAATTGATAGAGATTTTTGAAGAGGACACTTAAGAATGAATATTACGATGAAAAACTCAAAATCTAAGCTGTGACTACCCTTTAATCATTAAATACATACTCATATTGTCCTTTTCTACCAATATTCAATATTATTGCTTCATTTGTTTAGCCGTTAATCTAGAAGTGTATAAGATTAAAAAAAATTTAATTTTGAATGTCACATTTCATACAGATGATTTCACATCTGATTAGCTTATTGATAGTAAGTACTATGAATGTCGCAATACGATGAATAATATAATGTCCATACACAGATTATTTACCGTTATGAAGAAAAGAATAGAAAATACGTGTAAACAGAGAAAAACAAGATGTAACTTATATTTAAAAAAATGTTTGATTTAAGCTTGATATTTGCAGAATACACATAGAATTAAGAGTATCTCTCCTCTCTTTTTTGGTGCTTCCCGTAGAAATGCTGTGAAATAAAAAAAAGTCACTAAGGCTTCGTATTTTTAGAACTCATTGGCAATTCAATAGAGCATTTTTTCGTCTTTGTCAAGTTTTTTACTATTACCGGTCACGAATTTTCCAGAAAACTTGGCTTTTCATTGTGTCACATTACGACTCCACTTAAATTTCATTCGATCGAGTACCATAGGTACTCAAGGTAATATGGCAGAAGTATTTTTTCGGATTTTTTTAAGACCTTTTCTGATCGAGTTATAGGAAAAATACTGAAAAACGTCTCAAAAGCCAAGTTTTTCAATCGTAGGAACCCTATAACTCGCTAAAGAAAGGTCTGAAATAAAATTCCAAAAAAATACTTCTGCAATAGTGTCTTGAGATCGGATGAGATTTAAGGGGCTCGTAATGTGACTCAATGAAGCCCGAGCAAAAATATAGTTTTCGAGAAAAACTCATTTTGTGCACAGCTCACGCTTTTTTCAGGCATTTGTCGCGATGCTTATATCTCCACGAAAATTCATCGGAAAATACTGAGAGACGTCTCACTGTGAAGAGAACACTTTCTCCTATTAGACTGTGTATAAGAAAATATTTGAATGTACAGGAAAGGAGAGAAAAACTCATGAAACTAGAAAATTGAGTGTTTTTAGGTTTTGAAGAAAAAACTTAAAAAACTCAGAACGATCGTAGAATGCTGGAAGTGATGTCATTTTGTAGCCCAGCCTTTCCTCTACATTAAACTATGCTTAGCTCAAAATTCAAAATTTTTTAAAAAAGAGGGGTAAGATACCCTTCAATTTACTATAGCATTCTAAAACGTAAATAATCGAAAAATTCAAAATTAATTTTGTACGAAATACGGAATCGAACGCATGCACTTAACTTTGAGAATAAACTGCAAATCTAAATTCACTATTCCCCGTCTATATTACTGTACAGTGACTGACGTTGCGTAGTCGATTTGATATTGATGCTAATTTTAATTGTTCTTGAGGTTTTTCGATAGTTTCAGTTTTAACATACTATGGTGTATTTAGTTTGATTGTATTGTTAAAAACTAAAGTGAAGAAAGGCAAATATGTGTACATATATCGAACAAAACAAGAAATGATAGAAAAACATCGCAAATTTGTTTTTTTAAAGTTGATTCATACCTTCTCAAACATTGCTTTGGTTATTATTAATTGCTATTTGATGACTGTCTTCAACCGATAGAAAAAAAAAAACAGATTTGATCTAGATTCGAGGTCCTAATGCGTACTATATCAAACAGTAATATCATAAAAATGAATCGAAAAATGCTCCCCGTGCAGGAAAATCATCTAAAAAAGTTCTGTCTCTGTAATTTTACCCCTTTCTCTTCTACACATTACACCACTCGTGCAAAGGCCTAAAATCAAAATGCTTAAAACCACAGCGCGATATTCTTTCAGAAAAAAGGAGCTAGTTAGACTTATGCTATACAGTTTTAATAGAAATTGAAATGATTAACAGTGACATAGCCAAGATTTTCTAAAGGAAAACATTTTTCCGCCAGATCAACAATATTTCTATCTCATGTTATCTTTTTACTCTATATCTTAGTGCTGCGATACTTCGAGACTGTTCTTATTATATTTCATTTTCAAAACAACGAAAAGTTGAGTTAAACATATAAATCTTTCTGTTCTTTATTATTTAATGTTATATTCGGTAATCTTGCTACTGAAAGTAAGAAAGGTGAAAATTTGTCTCTTCAAAACTTGAGCTGTCGATTTTTCTTCGAAAACTCGTCGATCACTTCACAAGGATTTAATATTGATGCAATAGATGACAGAAAATGTAATAAGGCGAGATTGTTTAAGTGAGTATCACTCATCCGATTCCTTAGGTCAGTTTTGATTCGTTTCAACTCCAAAAAAGTTCTTTCTACAGTTGCAAGAGATACTGACAACACGGCATAGATTTCTAGTAAAACAAAGATTGATGGATGAAATTATTTCATATATTTTGCTGTTCGTAGAGTATCACACAATGTATTTGGTCGTTCCTATTCAGATTATTTTAGCTAGTGATCCCTCCATAAATCGACTTCGACTTCTAATGATTTCAACTTTTCAAGCTCAATGAATTCGAGGGCTGTTGAGGAGAAGGTAATCTCGGATGAACAATATTTTCTACACACATAGGCAAACTTCTTCCCGCACTTTCGAATCCAGAGTCAGAAATTTCTTCTAGTAAGGCTGAATTATATAGAAAGTTACTATTCAATCACTGAAAATAAATCATTCATTTGATCGAATAGTAAGTATGATATATGTATGTTTTCAATAATGAAATAACAAAAAAATGTTTACATTAATAAGTCACAATCGACACGAATAATAAATAAATAATAAACTGACAGGTAAACCAAAAATGATGGAATCCTATTCAACGACTAGAGATTTAAGTACAGTCAATACGACATTCAACTCTTATTCACAATTATTGGGCAAGTTAGAAAATTTATCAGTGCTAGAAATGAGCACAAATGCTTTAACAGTTGAAACAGCAACAATCAATGAACAGAGAAGGAAGTGAAGTTGAACTTTTGTTACGCAACAGTGTGTTATAAACTTCAGAGGAATGTTCTTAAGATAAAAGTAGTGTTTGTGACAGTCAATCTACATACTTACAAAAGATGAAAAATGGAGAAAAAGTACTATTGACGGAGAAAAGGTCTGTATCAAATAAATGTTACTATACTTTCGCAAAATGACTATATAATGAATTGAAAACGGATGGTACAAATGATAATGGAAGTAACATCATTACACTGAATAACACTGGCTAGTACCGTTAATATCTGACGCATAGTTTCACCATAAACCTGTTTCTGCTAAACGAATTTCTTATTTTGTTTTATTTGTATAACTTGTGCCTATTAGTAAAAAAAGGTTTATAAATATCACCAAACAACAGATCATTATGGGAGTCACAAATTCAAAAAAATGTCATCATTTTCTCATTGTTCATCATGACGGTGAACAATGAGCAAAAATTGAGCTCTAAATTTTATTTCATTCTGAGACTTTCAAGACAATGACAAATAAGTAATATTCCCGTGAGATTTATTGTGACGTTCTTTTGGTAAAAACTAAAGGACTACTTATTTTATACCAATTAATTTATCAACAGTAAGACTAATCTGCAGTATCTATGCAAGGCCTTTCTTTACTGTACATGTACGACTAGATATCAAGGAAAAAGAGATAAATCAAGATGCAATAGCTAGAGTCATGTTCAGAGCATTAGCGAATCTGATTGGTTAATAAAAAGCTAAGTCGTCACGAAAACATGACTTAAGTCGGAATTAAGGATGCTGATTGGTTGGTTGTAAAGTTAATTGAGATCAGTAGTCTAAACATGGTCTAGCTATGCCATTCACTTAGTACTGTATTCGATAAAGACTTATCGGGCAAGAATATAGAAATCAATACAACAGATAAACTCATTTTTCAAAATGTAATATATATGACATCAAGAGTGGGGAAAATACGCCAACGTACCGGCCGTTTAAATAATAAAAATAAAAAAATGGCATCAGAACAACATATGGATCGTAAGTGCTATAAATGTATCTCCAATATATTAAGCGATTCTGTGTCGGTAAAAGCTAAAACATATTTTAGAATTCGGATGTTTATGCACCATCTTTATTCTACTCCGAAGCAGCGTTTTTGATAGACCTCTAGTGATGAGAGTCTGAAGTGCTCCAAAAAACCTGACTCGACTATAGTTAATCAACCGAAAAAACTTAATATTTATCACAATCCTCGCTGCTGGATAACTTTTTAAATTAAAAAAGGAGGAATATTTCTTCGCTTTCCTTCCTCGTCTAATCCCCTACTCGAAATCGCTGCCTATATATCGTACTAAAAATATTTGATAAAAATATCACATTGTAGAAAGAAAAAGTCTTATTTCAGTTTTGAAACTTCATCTTATTAAAAGTAACTGTTAAGAAAATACAAATTATGCAATAGACGTGATAAAAATCAAAAATCAATGTAAGAAAAAAGAACGATCAACACGAGTATTGTGAAAGACATTATAAAAGATAAGCATTTGTAAATTAGAGCTTCTTTTACGTTGGTATCGATAATGCAGGTAAAACTGTTCCAGAACATTCACCAAAACCAATATTAAATCCATCGCCTTTGTAACATCCTTAAATAGTTAAGAAAAACAAATAGTAAAATATCAAAATGGTCTATTTCATTTGATTACGTACCGGTCATGATAATCGTATCACCATCTTCCAGAAATTTTCGTTGTACATCTTTTGTTAATTCAAGGGGTTTTGTTCCACGCCATGATAGTTCAAGCATCGATCCATACGATTCGGGTGTTGATCCGCTGATTGTTCCTGTGGCAATTAAATCACCTGGTTTCATATTACAACCGGTCATTGTGTGTTGAACAAGCATTTGTTTGAGAGACCAATAAATATTCTTAAAAACAAAATGAAAAGATGTATAATATGTAGTCATTAAAAAAAAATTTTACCTTGGAATTCGAACGACAAATTGTCCACGTTTCATTGCACTTATCAGCTAAACATCAAAATTACAATTGTTTGAATATATTGTAGAAAAATCAATACGTATTAACTCACCTTTCAATCTCACTTCCAAATCAATATTCAATGAGGAACGATCATTTTCACGTAAATAAGGTAATGGTTCGGGATCCTAGATTATAGGAAGAAATGTCGAACTATTTCAGATTGAAGAAAGAAGCACGTACCTGTAGTTCACTAGGACAAAGTGCATCTTTCAATGCTTCCATTGGTACGATCCACGGTGAAAGAGTTGTTCCAAAATTTTTTCCGTTAAACGGACCGAGTGGTACATATTCCCATTTTTGTATATCACGTGCTAGAAAAAGAGATATATAATGATGAAATCACATATTTTAAAGTAGAATTATCGAGTTAAAAAATAAATGTTACCTGACCAATCATTCATAATAACTAATCCAAATATATGCTCATCCGCTTCGTTAATAGTGATTGGTCGTCCCATTTCATTTCCTTTACCCACAAAAAATGCCATTTCTAATTCAAAATCAAGCAATTTACATGGACCAAAAGTAGGCGGTTTTGCTAATGAATTGAACAAAAGACAAAAGAATGTGCAGAATAAATAAAATTTTATTTGTCTTTCTTCCTACATTCATCAGGACAACTTTGACCATTTGGTCGTCGAATCGGTGTTCCACTTATGACAACAGATGAAGCACGACCATGATAACCAATAGGTAAATGTAGCCAATTTGGATTTAGCGCATTATCTTTTCCTCGAAACATTGTACCAACATTCGTTGCATGTTGTTTGGATGCATAAAAATCGGTATAGTCACCTAAATAAAAAGATAGAATATTTTTTATTTTAAAAATAAATATTATAACCAAATTGATACAGAAAGAGATCACTGAGCTCATAGACTAATGATAATCATCTTAATTTAGATTATTTATCAAAACCGTGTACTATGATCAAATGGTAAAAACATTGAATCAATTATTAGTAGAAATTTAGCTATAGCAGCGTTAAAGCAGCAAATTATTTAAATTACAAATATTTTCATTCACTCGAGTATATGTTAGTATGAGATGAATATGTTAAAAGAGCGTGATCACCTATTTGTGCAGGTAAATGCATTATAGCATCTTTTTGTTCAACAAAAGCTCTAAATTAATAGATGAAGTTGTGTTGATGTAGGTTAGAACTTGTAAACAAAAAAAAATTAATTTTCATAGACTCTTTATTAGTACTTTTTTCGTAAATCTTGGTCATCTTTGAGTGTGGTGCAGTCATTTGACAAAAGTTTTTGTAAATATGATCGAACTTCTTTCCATGCTTTAGAGTCAAGTGCCATAAATTCGTTTAACACAGGCTAAAGTATCAATAGAACAGCACTAGATGTATACAAAGATGATTGCAAAATAAATAATTTACTTGATCAAATACAGATTGTTTATCTTTCATCACTGGACCATTGAATAAATGTTTGATTTGTGATAAATCAACTATGTATTTTCCAATTGCAACACCAATACGATGACGGGACTAAATGAAAACAAATAAATTAGCCTATACCAGTATGTGACTAGAATGCAAACAACTTACATTGTCGTTTGTTGAAAATACTCCATATGGTAAATTTTGAATTGGAAAATGGGAATCCTGTGTGACTTCGATGAAAGACATCTGCAAGAAAGAAGTCTCAGATAACAATGAACAAAAATATACTATGATTTAAGGATAATAAAACGTATGTTTAGACTAAAATCACTTGCTAATTGCACATTATAAGAAAAAATTTATTTTGTTCGGTATCATGGGATGCTTTAAAAATACTTAAATAAAAAGTTGAAAATACATAAAAATTTCCTATTGAATGAAAAGTCCATTCTCTTGTAAAAAACGGTTATAGTTCCTAATTAGTTTGCTTTGTTTCGTTTTTTTAATGTTTTGGCTCTTATATTCGAAAGAGTGTTCCTAGAAAGAAAAAGAAAAAATATACTTATTATAAATAAACTGATTTAGCGTAATCTACATACACTGTAAGTTTTGCCAGAATAAATTCTGGAATAAATGATTGAACAAAATCCTAGAAAGAAATAGAATTCCAATAATAAATAGTAAAAAGAGATGGTCTGACCATTTGTCAAATAAGAAAACTATTCTTTAGATACGCTAGAAATATACTATTTTATTAAAATAAAGTCTTTTTTTGAACATACTTGAATTTCATGAGCCCAGAAGCCCGTAGTATATGGCAACGCAACACGTTCTAATGCACTGATTGCATATTGTTCAGCTGTTGGCGTAAATAGACTCGGTTTTCTTATACCAGATAATTTACTACAAACAAATCCTGGACATAATGACTGAACTAAAACACCTCGATTTGCACATTCAACAGCCAATGATCTATGAATTAAATATAAGCGATGTATTTTATGATGCTAATATGCAGAGTGTACAAACCTTGAGAAAAAGTCCACAAATGCCTTTGTTCCCGAATATAAGGCCAATAATGGCACTGGATATCTGCCAGATATACTCGAAACATTGACAATCAAACCATTTCGTTTCTTGATCAAATCTTGAATTAAGAAAGGTTAAAAGTCTATAAGATAAAATTTTCACGAAGAGGTTTGAATTACCTGGTAAAATCATATGTGTCATTTGTGAGACTGAGTCAACATTACAACGTAACATTTTATTCATAAAACTTTCACTATTTTCAACTTTATCAAACACTTCGGGATAATCATATGACATTCCAACATTATTTACTAAGATGCCAATGTCAAGTCCACGAATTTGATCACGGATAGTACTGTAGATACTGTTATCGCCTGATAATAACAAAAAGATTATATATACTAAAAGATATTTAAACGAAAGAGAAAGAAAACTAACGTGTAAAATCAATGGGTATTGTTTTAATACTAATACTGTTATATTTAGTTTTTATTTCAGTTGAAACTTGATTGAGTTTGTCTTCTGAACGACTAATTAAAACCAAATTTAGTCCTAAACATATGGATACAGTTAGATGTGGAGATTAACACATGAAAAATATTTAGTTTTTACCATGTTTTGCCAACTGAGTTGCATAAGCTACAAGAAAAAAAATACTAGCGTTTTAAACTTAGAGCAATGGAGAAGCAGAAAAAGACAATTACCCAAACCGATTCCATCTGTGCTTCCGGTTACAACAGCCCATGAACCAAATTTTTTCACATCAATTTTTACCGGCGATAACAAACGATAAAGGAAGAGAGTCACACGAACCACAACATAGAGAACAGCACAAACACCAGCTGCTGTAATGATGCCCATTTTTTTAATCTGTGATTTCTGTTATAAATCTAAAGACATAAGCATACCAGACAGAAATTAAAATATTGTTGATCAATTATTTCTTTAGTGGGTAGTCTAACAGGTTACTTGTAATGTTAATTTTTTTATTATTTATCTTAGGATGTTATGATTACTGAATAAATAGCTCCTAAAAACCAAATATGGCCTCTTTTTTTTTCACGTGCTATTATACTATATGAAACAAGGAAACAAAGTGAAGAAAAGAGTTAAAAATTATTATTTTTTTATCATGTTGAAAGAAACGTCTACGCCATACATAAAAGTAGTCCAGATCAAACGTGAACAGATTATTACTTCACTTAATTACTTTTAGAGAAACTAAGGCGTCCAGTAGAGCATTTATTACTCTTGTCTGGTTTCTCGCCTATCCTAAGTATAAAGAAGTGTATTTTGAGAGATGCCGCCGTTATTCAGCGTTCATACTATAACACACAACGACATATAAGATTGTTTCAGATAAAAGAGCTAAGATTATTCGTTTACATTCAAGTTCAACTTCTGAATTGATATGTACTGTTATTCTTCAGTCTCAAGCTATATCAGTATGTCTTTATTCTCCTCATTATCAACCAACAAGTGCACTGATGTGTCAATTCCCAGTTTACACTTGGATAGATGGTAATCTACAGATCATCTGTTCATTTGATTTTGTTTGTTTGGCATTTTATTTAGCACATCATAAGACGAAACACAGTCATGTTTCTACAGTATCGATCATTGGGCAAATGTAAACTTCGTTTTATCCTCATCACATCTTTTTATTTCGTGTACTCTGAAGATGGTCGCTTTGTCAAAAAAATAAGAATTCGATTTGGAAGCTCGTTTAGTTCACACAAGTCAGTTAGCACGTACACCTCTATAAGCAGTGAGGTAGTCCTCATATCGATCACATACTACTCACAGTGTATTTTATGCTAAACAAGAACACGACTTTCTCTTATGATAATGCATGATCATTCAGCATTCATCAGTCTCGTTGACTTAATATTATATTATTTTAAAACTCAGTTTTACTGCAATGATAAATATATATACCAGAAACAAAACCTACAGTACTCTAGGAAAATTAAATGGAATCTTTGTTTCACACTTCGCAAACTACAAAGCATAAACTGTATACTTTGCAAAAAAATGACATTTGACCTTTTCCAAGTTTTAGAGGTAAAAAACAGATCATATTTTTTTCGCTTTTTCCCATTCGCATATGATTTCGATCGACTGTGCCTCATTGCCTGTAATTTTTTTCCATTATCTAAAGGCTGATGGCATTGTGCACAATTCATGTGTTGTTCGTCAAAGCTATAGCAATTTGAAATATTCATTATATGATTGTATTCGTTTTTCTGCTTCGAATCATTCACGATGCATTATGTTTCTTATGACTTAGTAAACTTTGTACACGTTGCATTCAAAACAAGGCGTACGTGTATATTGTGCTCTAGATTCTTATTAGAAACGTTGAATGGATGAATGTATTGGCTCTATGGATAGACAAAAAGAAAGGAAAGAATCTACCAGTGAGTTCTTAGTCGCATTGTGTTGCGATTGATAGAAACAAGTTTGATTTGTTCTGTTTGAGATATCAAGATTCACAGTGTTTCTCATGTATTTAAGCAATGCTTCATTTGTATTGACTACCCTAGTTTTGCGTCATTATGCTTGGAAAGATAAGAGGCTTGAGCTCGTTACTTATTCGATTGTTATCCTTTTTGTAGATTTTTCTAAGATTGATAATTATAATGGCTGATTATTTAGCTTCGATTTTTGGCACCGAAAAAGATAAAGTAAATTGTTCTTTCTTTTTCAAAATTGGAGCTTGTCGACATGGTAAGTGATAAAACAAACAAGTACTTGATGTCTGTAATAAACATTAATAAAACTTCGAAAATGTTTCATTTCTAGGTGAACACTGTTCAAAATTACATAATAAACCAACGTTTAGTCAAACAATTTTGATGAAAAACCTCTATTTAAGTTTAGAAAATAGTTCACAGAAAGCGGATAAATCGTTTATGGGTGATAATTTAACTGAAGAAAAAGTTCAAGAACATTTTGACGATACGTTCGAAGAATTATTTATAGAATTGGAAAAAAAATATGGTGAAATCGAAGAAATGAATATTTGTGATAATTTGAGCGAACATTTGGCTGGTATGAACTCCTTTTACTTTGTCATTTTTTAGTAAATCTGTATTAGGCTTTATTGTTGTTTAAAGGTAATTGTTATGTTAAATTTCGTTTTGAAGAAGATGCGGAAAAGGCTGTTGGTGATTTAAATGATCGTTGGTTTGATGGACGGGCAATTTATGCCGAATTATCACCAGTAACAGATTTTCATGAAGCATGTTGTCGGCAGTACCAGATGGGGTAACTGGACACTCTTCTCACACCCATAAATCTATGTAGTAAAATTTCATGTTTTATTCATTCAGCGATTGTCCTCGAGGTGGATTTTGTAATTTTATGCATTTAAAACCAGTAAGTAATTAGTTTAAAAATAGTTTTAGAGTATTCATTTAATTTTAAATTTTATTTAGATATCAAAAGACTTAAGAAAGCGTCTCTATCAACGTCGTCAAAAAAAAGCCGGCGGTGGTAATTATAATGTCCTTATTCGCACGCTCATATCTTAATTTTAACTTTTTTACAGGTAATGCTTTAACGCCACCACATGAAAGGAATTCACGTTCAAGAAGTCATGAGAGAGATAATCGTGGTCGACGTCGTTAAAAATTGAATATGATAATTCAGTGTATTTGTTAAGAAACGAGCCTACTCGTTAGAGAAATTTTTTTTCGTAAAAAAATAACGCGTTGTACATTTACAAATAAACACGTTAAATCCTCAGCAGAGATGAAAAAATCTTTTTTGAACGATGTATCTTTCTAGATTATCTAGCATCAATATAATCATTGTTTCTTTTTTGTTGTAGATTTTTCGTCATTTATTGTAGAGAACTTTTTCTTTCATTTAGAATAAAATGAAATAACCCAGAAACGCTAACAATACAAAGTGTTAGCCAACAATACATCGAAATACCCTAGAAAGTGAAACGTATTTACTGAAACATAATTGTATTTTACTTTTCTTTTTAGAACGAAATGAATTAGGTTGTTCCAAACTGACCATTGACTGTTAGAAAGTCTAAATTAAAAGTTAAATAATAGTGGACTTTATCGAAGATCCTTTTCGAAAGCCAAAGTATTGATTTAGAATACTTTGCTGACTAAAGTCGAAATCCAATTATTAGGTTTACGTTCAGTCATCACTCTGGTTAATACACGTTTATTTTAACATGTTAAACTTATTTTTCTCTCCTTTTAATTTTTACATAAATATTCAGTTTTCTGCTTCCCTTATTCATGGGTTAAAATAAAAAAATAACACGTTGAAATGATTCTACTTTCGCAGGTTGAATATATTGGTGTTTGTTCTAGATTATTGTATGTGTTTTCTAGAATGAGTAATGATGGTGATGTTGATAAATGGTTAGAATTAATTAAAGATTGTAAATATTTACCGGAAACAGATTTAAAAAAATTATGTACAATAATATCTGATATTTTATTTGAAGAATCAAATGTACAACCAGTATTTTCGCCTGTTACAATCTGTGGAGACGTACACGGACAATATTATGATGTACAAGAACTATTTAAGACTGGTGGCTATCCACCAGATACACAGTATATATTTATGGGCGATTTTGTTGATCGTGGTTATTATAGTTTAGAAACATTAACACAATTATTAGTATTCAAAGCAAAATGGCCACATCGTTTAACATTATTACGAGGAAATCATGAAAGTAGGCAAGTGACACAAGTCTATGGATTCTACGATGAATGTATGAAAAAATATGGAAATGCTAACTTATGGAGATTTTGTTGTCGTTTATTTGATTTAATGCCAATTGGGGCACTAATTGATAATACAGTGTTGTGTATACATGGTATGTGAAAACATGAATCAACTTTAAAAAACTAGTTTTCCTTGGTTTAACCAGTATTGCATAAATTTTTAAATACCTATAGGAAATAACGTTGCCAGTAAAAATCTTAGCTACATGTTCTTCTAGCTAACAAGGGAACCTCTTGAGGTTATAAATCGCTTTTCAACTCAGACTACTTTTATCTTGTAGATCTCAGTGAGTAGTGAAATACCCTAAGTTGGTTTATGCCCATGGTGCTTTGTTGCTGAGATACTGGATTTTTAGTTNGAATTTCGATTTTTGATTTCAAACTTGCCACACTTGTAGGCCATGGTCATAGTAGCACAACGGAAAAATATTCGAGGTTAATGAATTTTCCTGCCTTGAGATATTGAGACTCGAATGACTTGAATGTTTGACCCTCACCCTTACCTTCTGGTGAAATATTCGAGTCTCAATATCTCAAGGCAGGAAAATTCATTAACCTCGAATATTTTTCCGTTGTGCTACTATAACCATAGGCTACAAATGTGGCAAGTTTGAAATCGAAATTCGAAATTCAAGTTCTATAGGCAAAAACTAACTAAAAATCCAGTATCTCAGCAACAAAGCACCATGGGCATAAACCAACTTAGGGTATTTCACTACTCACTGAGATCTACAAGATAAAAGTAGTCTGAGTTGAAAAGCGATTTATAACCTCAAGAGATTCCCTCGTAAGTGCACATTCTATAGCTGTTAAAAAATGATTTCAAAAAAAGAAATACTTTTGAATGCTTATAAATTGTTGGTATTTTGCATTAAGGCGGCCTGTCTCCTGACATTGGTACAATCGACCAGATGAGAACAATTGAACGTGATCAAGAAATTCCTCATAGGGGAGGATTTTGTGATTTGATGTGGTCAGAGTGAGTATCTGAATAATTCTTTATTATGTATATGTACAGTTATTATAAATCTGTTTTTCTTTTACTTTTAGTCCCGATGATATTGACTGGTGGGCTATTTCTCCACGTGGTGCCGGTTGGCTATTCGGTGAAAAACCTACAAATCAATTTATGCACAATAATCAATTAACATTAATATGTCGTGCACATCAATTAGTACAAGAAGGTATATTGTTTCCTTTACTAAGTACAAAAATAATAATTGCTTATGTTTTTTCGTTTCGTTTTTAGGTATCAAATTTATGTTTAACGAACGTTTGGTTACGGTATGGTCAGCACCAAACTATTGTTATCGTTGCGGAAATATAGCTAGTATATTGGCATTCCACACTTCCACAAACTATGAAACAAAACTGTTCTCCGCTGTACCAGATGAGAAACGACAAATTCCATCGAAAACAACTACACCTTACTTTTTATAGATCAGTACTTGTTAGTTCGACTTGGGCTAAAATCAAATGTGCTAATCCTTCGTCCTAGTATTTTATACATTTAAAGGAAAATTGTAAAACGAAAACCTCACAAAAATGACGTTTTTTTCATTCTGAGCTATAGTTTTTGGTTTTTTTTCAGTTGTATATTGTTATTGTTAACAGTGCATTCTAATGGAAGAAGTTTTTGTATAATAGTTTTTTCCTTGAATGTTGTCGTTGATAGTTTCTTTCGTCATTCGTTGGATGTTTTTTTTTTAATTTAAAATATTTGTTCATTGTACATTTGTAATCAAGATGAGAATTATGTCGTTATTGTTGTCGCTTACTGTACTGTCTATCACATTTTTTCTTCTTTAAAAACAAATAAACATTCTTCTAAGAACATTTTTTACTTGTCGATTGATCTTCTATTATTATTCGCGTGAAAATATGTATAATTATTCTCATTATCTCAATCTTTTTGATAGTTTGCCGGTGTTTGGCGGGCGTAAAAGCTTATAATTATCATAACTTAGCAAAATTTAGATCAGAAATACAAAACGAGGTCTTAGATACGATCAGCGCTCAAAGAAGAAAAATATGACTTTAAGGATGTAAAACGAAGGAGGAAAAATATTTTAGAAATTAAATTAATATTTTTCTAACTTTAGAAATCTCCCACTATTTATATTACTTTCGCAGAGAAAACTGAATTGATACCGTTTTTGTATCTATTTTGAATTCAGTGTAAATATGTAACAGTCTATTTCCTCCTTTTTTAGATAAATATATCTGCCAACTCTCTAAATTAGATAAACAGCAAAACGTCGTTTGGAAAAGCTTCCGAATAGTCTGTAGTTCTAACTACTTACATCGTAGAAAATATACACTGGATCCGATTCATATTCAATATAGAATTCTAATCAATAATTATGTATGTCTTGAAACCTATATTTAGAGAATGATTTCTAATTTGTGCTTTAGCGTTATAGATTTTTATTATGTCAGTTTTTACATTTCATTAGTTAACAACTAATGACAACTTGTCTATTAATTCGAGCCTTTTTAAATACAAAATTCATATTATCATTAGTTCGGTAATATAAACGAACAACATTCTTTCTAGTCATTAAATGTCTTATTAACAACCATTAATGGTGTCTATCATCATATTTCATTCATTTATTTGTGTTGCTTTTTGCTTCTATTGATACTGAGTTATTAACTACGTGTATATTATATATAAACGAAACAAGAAGCAAAAAAAAAGAACAAAAACAACAATACATATTAAAGAGATACAACCACTTTTCTTCTATATGACAGTTGGTTGTCGATCTATGTTAAATATATAGATAAAATCCATTTTTACACAAGAATTTGTTATTAACGTTGATATTATTGTTGTATTATTGTTTATTATGATGAACAAAAAATAGACGAAAATAAATGGATCCGAAAGAAGATGAACAAAGTAAATATTTTTTTTCTCATAAAACATATTTTAAGTTTAGTTGATGTGCGACCTGAAATGCATGAAATTCACATTCATCTTACAAGCTGTTTATTTAAAAAAGGTACTTCTATGAATGATCATTATGATATGATAGATCAGATAATTGTTTTCTAAATGTTATAATCAATGAACCATGTGCAGTTATTGAATGACCGAACAAATCTTTGACTTGTTTTCACTAGTTATAAATTTGAAGAACGAGTGAAATTAATTGTTTCCTTTCCTTTTTTCAAACTTCAAACTCGTCATCAGTCGAAGAACGTTCAGTCGAAGAAATATAAACCCCATTATATTTTTCTATAGGTTGCGGAGTAAGACAACGATCAATTGATTTTCAGCTTAAAAGGTCTTGATAGTCCCGATTGTTGGAAGTAAACTTATGGGATACTCACTTCGGTGCCTTTGAGTTTTGTTTTAATCATTAAGTGTCTGTCAAAGTTTCAATTTTCCGAGCAGAATTTATCACCATGCTCGTATTAAACATAAAAGGGGCAATCCAGAAACTTTACACAAACTTACTAACTTTGTTTATAAACAAGATATTATTTCACTGACTCTAGCGACATCTTTCTATACTCGGTAATTATTCTTAGATTGTAATTGGAATCGATTTTTCATATAAAACTTGTAATCCTGTTTTTCTTTCTATTTCGGACATCTTGTTAACACTCACGTGTGCTATTATTTGTTTATTTCAGGTCTAGAAGAACGATTACGTGCTCAAAACAAAAATCGTACAAAAAAAAATAATACGTTTAAAGATGATAAGATATGTAGTCACACCGATGCAAATGGAATATTGTACAAAATAGGAGGTAAGCTTTTCAGTAAATTTTATCATGATTGTTGCTTATTTCTTTTTTCCATTAAGATCATGTTTATCTTGAAACAAATAAACAAAATCAACCCTATGCAATTGGTTGTATTCTCGATTTTCGCGTTGTAAGTTACATATTGTTTGAACAAGAATTATTATAAAATATATGCGTTTGATTCTTTTTCTAGACAAGAAAAGATAACGTTATGCTTGAAGTGAAATGGTATTTTCGTCCAAATGAATTACCTGACACAGTTTATGCATTACTAATGCAAGATCGTAGCAATGAATTTAGTATGTAGAAAAAAAAATCAACAATTAATTATTTAATGTTAGTTAGTTAGCTAGTTAAGATTACAAGTCACATAGTCTCTAATTTTGATCTGTAAAAGAAAATCTACAACACAGAATGTCACTTTGTTCCTTTTGTTCTTTTATTTCCTCTCGTTTCCTTCTCTTTTTCTGTTCATTCGTTTTCACATACATATTTCTAAAAGAAGAAAAAAAAGAAGGAAAAAAACATACGTCAACAAAAAAATGCTCTTTCAACTTTAACGCACGACATGATAAATTCTTAAATTATTCAATTCGACTATAGTAATCAGAAAGAAAATAAGATAATCATAAACTGATCGACTGATACGTAGGTCTATTGTTTCCTAGAGAAAAAAAATTGGTCTTTCTTCCGGTAACAGACCACAACAACAGCAAACAGTTCATGACATAGTTATTTTTCACAAAATGTCATAAAATATTTTTATATTGAGATCTAAATGTTTTATGCCAGTTTTCGATTAATCATTAATAGAAGAAATCGCATACTTTACTTTCATTATTCATTCGATGAAAACAAGAACGTCTTAAAGCTATTTTGTTCACAGTCATTACTCCAAAGAGCGTAAAAATTAATTTTAACATACTTTGATTGTAATCAAATATAAATTGTTGTGAATGAGAGGACAGATGTGTTTCACTAGCAGTAGTATATTATTGTTTCATGAAAGTGCTAAATGATTATGATTATCGAACTAATTACGATTCATCATGAACTTAGATCATTTTCTGTGGTATTGCGAACTTTTATCGAAAAGCTACTTTATTGTATAAAAAAGTTTCAAATTTCAGAGTACGTTATATAACTTTATTCTGTAGTCTTTTGCTTCTTTTTTTTTTGGAAGAAATTTTTATAGACTTGAAGTAAAATTATGAACACGAACAGTGTATAGTTTATTAGAAACGGAATTATCTGTGTAAATCACGCTTATTTCGTACAAACATTGTTGTGATATTAATGATTTTAAAATTCAAGATGGTTATTCATACATTTGTGATCATGCATATAATAGTAAAGCGTATTAGATGATTCAAAAATAAAATGTTCTTTATAGAGTTATACGGATTTACAAAAGCATTTCTCATAAAACGATTATGTTCATTTTGTTAATGCCATGAAAATAGAATTACGAACAAAAAAACATGAAAGTTTTTGTGGTTCATCCAGTGATCCTATTCTCAAATTTTATTTAAAATACATGAGAAGAATAAAGTTTAACAATCAGTAATCTTTATAGAATATCTATAATCGTACGAACAACATCAGTTTTCATACAAATAACAGCATCGAATAGTATCATAACACACTCTGAATTATGGTTTTTAGTGTGTTCATTCGACTCAGTGATCATTTCTAATAAAATTGAAAATCGAAGGATCTTTAGTACTCTTGAAAACCATAGAGATAAACGCTAATAAAGAATAAAAAGCTTAATAATAGCGTTATTCAGATGATAATCATCAATTATTGAATTTGATCGAAAATCCACATTTAACATAAATCAACAGTTAGACGTAAATGTACATGATATTTAATTACATATAAACGAAAATACTTTTTCGTAGTATCTTTATCGAAAGAATGTATTTTTTTGATTTCAACAAAATAAAAAGTAATTAATATTGATTGATTGATTAAGGAAATATATTTCTGTAGCTATACTTCTACATCTTGAGATACGTCTAAGGATGTATGTAAGACAAATTCTTTCTTTGAATACAGAAGCGATCATCGATTATATGTGTACAAAATGTTCTCCTAAATTTATCCGTATCATTGTAACTATAACAAATTTTTTTTTTTGATAAAGTAGCTTTTTGATAAAATTTGTTTTTTTTGTTGAAGTATATTTCGATAAAATTATTTCAATGAAAATATTTTTCAATAAAAGTTCATTGAATCACTTTCTGTATATAAAGACATGCAAACGATAGAAAGAAAAGAAATGAAAAAAGATTGAACACACAGAAATCATATATTGCGATCTAGAGAACGATGAAGGTTTTTCGTATATCTATCTGCGAATCATTTACCACACATACATACATACATAAGTATGGTACAGTCATGTCGTATGTATAAACTTTTTCGTTTACTCTTCATCGTATTACTCAAAATATTCCTGTCTCTCTCTTCCTCTCTCGCGTGCGCACGTTCTCTCTCTCTCTCTTTTTCTATAATTTTATGCATACGTGAGGATATTTATGAGAAAGAGAGTGAATAGCCGCATTCTTGATTCGTTTTTTTAGTATATGTTTAAAAGAATTTAATATGCCAGACGATGAAATGCCGTTAATTTTCTGAGTAAGTAACTAGAATTTGGAATAAAACCTAATTAGCAGTACAATTATTGTAATCGTTTGATCAGTTTGTACAGATAGAACTGAAAAGGTTATATCAATATTATGTTTTGAAACATTTAGAATTATAATATCTAACTTGTGTGAATAACCGTCATATAAAGTTTTTGACTATACAATTAGCTTTTAAATCAATGATCTGTTTTGATTTAAATTGATGTTTAAAAACACATACTTATTTTGTTTACGTTATTTTATAAAGTTTTTTCACTTATTTTATTGCCTATTTGATAAATAAGTCATGAACTTTGAGCGACACTTGAAATCTGTAGGTCATCTTAATTTCCTGTTTATTTGTTTTTGTTTGTGTGATATATCAAGATAGCAATAGTGCTATCTATTGTTATTGTTATCTATGAATGAAATTTCTCTTCTTTCTTTTCACATCACTTGTATTACAGCAGAACTCATTAATGTTGTTCTTTTCATCCCTGACATACATCTATCTATCTGCATATATATATATTCATCCAATCATATCAAGGTAATAAATATGTGCACATACACACACACAAACATACAGTTATTATGGATATGTATCCTACTTGAAACAGGCGCATATATTCTTTGTTATTTGCCTTTTTCTCATGTGTATAATTTGTACATGATGGTACTAGTTAGATTGTCGAGAAACTAAAAAACAAGAAGAAAGAACAAAGTTTTTATGTAACGTCTCTTGGGAAATAAAAAAAGAAGATTTTGAACCATCTAAAATTAGTTATATAATAAAAGAATTTGAGTAGAATAATAGGTTTTTTTTATTTTTCCTAAAATAAAAATAAAACTTAGTATCACAGTGTTTCTCTGCGTGACATATCAAACACACATGAAACTTGAGTACACATATTTGTTCTACTATGTATTTTTTATTGGTATTAAGTTCTACTCTACATAAAAGTCGTTCAAATTGAAAGTGGAAAAAAAAATGTCTGATTCTATTCTGTCATTAGTAGGTAGTAGTAGAAGTGTATTTTTTTCATAAGCCGTTGATCGTTCATGATTTTTTTTTTTTTTTTTTTTTCTGGAATAGAGATCACTTTGATTAAGCGTCTAACAATGGATGACAGTCTCACAAAAATATTATCATGACTATTAAACTGTATAAATAGGAGAAAAGAACAAAATATATATATGTGTTTTTCTATCTATTAGCTGTCTAACTAATATGAAAAGATATGAAAAGAAAAGAAAAGAAAAAAAAAAAAAAGACGCGATATAGGTTGGTTAAGAGACAGAATAATGATGAAAAATAATCGTATACATATCGTTATCTCTATAGTGAACAACAGTGATAGTACAAATAGACATCATATAAACATATCAAATTAAATTGACTATAAGTTTTGCTTACAATATATATATATATATATATAAAGAACAGCAAAAAAGAAAGAAAAAAAAAAAGTCAATGGTTTTTCATCAATATGAGGATATTACTTAACTAGCGACAAATGTTCATCTTAGTTTAATCAAAGAGAGACACAATGATACTTGATCAATATAGTATAATGATAGATAGATTTATATAGTATGGCCTTTAGTTAAATTGAGATACATGTTTGTAGGTTTATAAGAAATCTTCATCGATTAATAGGAATGTCAAAAGTTTCAAGACAAATTAATACATATAATTTCTTGCTTATTAAATAATCTTTTCTACTCAAATGTTTGTTTATTTTTTTATACCGGTTTACAGTTAATTAATATAGAACAAATTTTCTTTAGTATATTCTAGAAAATTTTTTTTGAAAGATTGTCTGTTGTTTTTCAGAAAAATGTTTGTGAAAATTAGCACTGTAAATATTACATATTGGCGGCTACTTTCTACATAAAACTGAAACTATGTGAACAAATACTATATATTAAACTATTCGTTTTTTTAATTAAGAGATAATTTGTCATCCAATAATATTTGACTTTACTCTTTTTCAAAGCTAAGAGAACATTTTACGATACTGAACGCTAAAAATGATCCTTAGAGACATCAAAAAAGGAATTTGTCGTACTTTTCAATCAAAATGCTTTCAGTAAAAGCAAAAAAAAAAACAAAAATGCTGACCTTTATAGAGAATTATGTAGACTTTCGAATAGTATGTAATAAGAAGTTTTAGGAAAGGATTTTTCTTTTAGGCAATGATACTCAAAACATTTTTCACATATAAAGATAACCAAATAGTATATTTAGTGAGTTATCTGTCACGTAATTTCAATGAGTATTCAACTATGAAATTATCATCATATTCTAATTTTCTTTTCAAATCTTCTTAATGCAACAAATATATTGACAATAATCTCTCTCTCGAAAAAATGAGAAAATGAACTGTAAATTAATAATTAGAAAAGATTATGTAATAGTAAAGAAATTAAGCATAATAATTTGTCTAGAAACTTTTGACTAACTCATTAATGAATTAATAAAATGTTAGCATAAACATACACAAAAAAAACGAATCTCTTTAACAATTTTGTCCATAATTAATAAAGTTAAGTTAAAGATATTGAAGTTTCCTTCTTTGGAAAACAATAAACAACCATTACCCATCAAATACTCAATCTTACAGTCTATCAATATAATTTTCTATACATATTTATTATTATTTTTCATTCA